TTTTTAACTTTGTTTTTCTCTGACACAGACATTCAACATCTCTTAAAGGGGACCTATCATGCAAAATGCACTTTTTTATGTCTTTTATACATAAATATGTGTCCCCGCCCGGTGTGTCAGGGAACTCACGCAGCGTCAGAAAACAAAACCCTCTCTCTTTTCCTCTGTACCCAAATCTCTAAAAACGGGGGTACAACGGAGCTGATCCAGATTTGCGTCCGTTATGACGTAATATCGGAAATGCGAACTCACAGCCCTATCAGAAACAATGCCCGACGTGTTTTGGACGTAATATGGTCTTTGTTTACATTAGCAAGCATCGCTAACACTCAGAGCTAACCTGTACTAGAGAGAGTACATGTGTAAAAAAAAGCAGGAAATAAAAAAAGGAACTCGCAAAAGAAAAAGCATTTGAGCTCCATACTGTTTCAGAAATAATCCTGGATGTGGTTTGGAACATGATATGGCATTTAATTACAGGAGCACTTAGCCGAGTATCTCTTAGAAATCCGAGCAGGCACAAGCTTCCCTTTTTTTGTGTAAAAAACCCCGAATCTGCAGTTCTCTAACAGGCCTGAAACAGAGGGATATGAGGGATATGAGGGATGTCTAAAATACATGATCTGTTTGGTATTTTGAGCAAAACACATCATAGACATGTTTTTTATATATCTGAGACTCATAATATATGCCTAAAATAGCATAATAGGAGACCTTTTAAAGTACATTTGAGCTTATTCTAGATATAAGCATTGAATGAGGGAAATGCACATGGTTTACCAGCTGGAGTCAACAGGGTGAAAATGTAAATAAGGAACAGATGGCTCAAATTGCACAGTCAAGATTCCCTGAAGCAGTTTATGTTTTTGTCAACATTTGCAACCCTCAGCTTCTCATCTTATCTCAAGCACATTCACACAGATTCAGGATGTGTATGCAATAACAGGAGCAAACATACCTCTGCAATAAGCATAGTTCTGCTGAGACTGCATCAGATATTTCTCTGGATACTACGTGGCTTTACTTTGTGTTGTGGCTTTTTCTAGATTAGATGCTCCTTGTTATTGTGTTGCTTCCTTTATCACACACAGCTGGTGAAAGATGTCTTGTTGGAAAGAAACAGTTCTATTCTTCTTTGTTTTTCCTTTCCTTTATTCGAATTGAAGAGGCTTGCTTTGGCTAATACACTTTCTGCACCCGCATCTACGGTCTGTGATTTTTAAAAGAGTGATCGCACCCTTTTATTTTGAAAGTACACTTGATTTCAGAGAGCCATTGCAGATATCCACAAGCCTTTGAGTGTGTGTTACTGTTTTTGGATTTCTAGGGCTTGTTGAAACATGCATAAAAAAAGAGGCCCCAGTACGCTGGTGCCGCTTTGTGCTGACTCGACACTATCTCTGCGAACCACCGACTTTCATTCTACATGCAAGCCTGAACTCGAGTAGCTACCAGTCAGCTGTTTCTTCTTCATTTCTATTCACTTTGTGTTTTACAGCAACATTAGGTCGTTCCTTTGATGTCCCACCCTTTCAAAATGCGGCATCATGTCGTAACAGTTGGTTTGCAGCGTAGAAGTGCCAACGAATGAAGAGGAAGTGTTATGTGACAAGAATTAAAGCCCTGTCTTAAGTCCTATAAATATAGCATCATCTATTATGCACCTCTTGTATAACAACTGTTGTATGTCCTAACTCCATGTGCCCAAGTTATTAAGAGAAACCAGGTTAAAGCAGGACATCAGAAGACCAGCACAGCAATGAAAAATGTATTTGCGTTAACTAGGTTTCCCTCAATTCCTCACTTATATTTAAGAAAGGAAACCCGTTTTATTGATTATTTGGTACATATACAATACCAATGGTACAATGCATTAAAGAAATGATAGAGTAGAACAAATAAGTGAATTTGGCACTTATGTTTTGTCTTGATTATGTTTTGAGAGGGACTTCCTACTGGCCATGCGGTCCTGTATCTGCAGTGGAAACAGAGCTGGTCCTTGGATCCCTCATTTGTAGATGTATCCTATTTTGCAGGCTCATGAAAGACATTAAAGTACCACCGGCTGATTCAGGAGCTGCCGCTATTTGTTTGTCTCACCCATTAGTCAGAGGACATAAAGAGAGAACTTTAAACTTCCCCCCACATTGAGCCACTGGCTGCATTGAGCCTTTTTTATTGGGCCTTATTTAACAAAGACCGGCGTCCAGCCTCTTCCTGTGTCATTACCTCTGCATGTGGGAACGTATCTGAATTCAGGCGTCCCCCACCCATTTCTTCCACAGCTTTTCACTTACTATCTGACAGGTTGAGTAGAAATGAAGCTCATCATAGTCCCGTGAAAAGATGAATGGTCGTGTGAATGCTTTTGTGTATGTAGTGCGATCAAACCACAGATGAAAGGGAAGCGATGTTGAGAGAGGGAGACACTGCTGAAGTTTGTCCTGGGTTGCCAACTAGTTTTACCACCCCTCCCCCTCCCCCTCCTATCCTTGATACTTCTGTGAAGATCCCTTCCTTCTGTAATTGGCATGCTTTTGAAGTACAAGCCCCCGTCTGGGATAGAAGCTTTGTCTGATTCTGTGACTGTCCGTTAGGTTGTCAATAAATACTAATGGAGAGTAGATTTACTAAAGAAATGTAACGGACTCAAGTAAAATGAGATACCAATGTTACCTAACTTTATACTTCACATTTTAGAAGGTAATATTTCGTTTTTTGCCTTCATTTCTATAAGAGATATGGGTACGTAATAAGCTAGGATTTAACGATTAGGTTCACAACCATAACAACACCTATAGAAACACCTGAGTAACAGTGTCTTCTCATGTGGTTTCGATTTAAATAACTGTTAACTGTGTATTGGTAATGAACCGTCATGTTAAGGTGCAGAACCACATGCAGTTTCAACATTTAAAAAAATGTCCTGTTAAATGATCAGCCGGTGTGCAGGTACACGCTCTGCGAGTGCTTACTCGTTTTCTATGTGGGCTGCATAAGTAAGTCGGGCTTTAATAACTAAACTAGGTCATTGTAATCAGACTGTGTCCTGCTGTGTTCATATTGAACTATATATAGTGCCAAAGTGAATATGAAATGGCTCTATCATCTCTGCAGTCTCAGTGCAGAATAAATGAATTCTTAACATACGTAATGCATTCTAACATTGATTGTATCTCCTCAAAGTCTTAGGATCACCTCATGGTTAATGAAACTCGGTAAAGGTCATGGTGCAGGCAGTTTATAATGAGTATCAGCTTGTTTGGTATATTATTGTTCCCCAGCTCAAAACACTTGATGCATGATGGATAAGGTAATGGTCATGTTACAGAGGAACTGTGTAGTGTGAGCAGTGTTATGTGATTTATGTAAATAATGTCTGTGAGAGATAGTAATTCTGTACACAGTGTCACTTCACATGTAGATGAAAGCTACAGTGTTATAGCTCTGTCCTAACAAATATCCTCACAGTAATGTTTGCCGACAATTTTGTATTGGAAATGAAGTTTTGAATATTGCACCACAACTTTTACATGGTCCGTTATCTGTATCGGATTGATTACAATCCCTGTTAACATTGATGTTGTTTTTAATGTTATCCGATAGCATTATGATCAATTAAAATGATATATTGAACCAGTAGATTCAGGATGTTGCCTCTCACATTGAGATGTGTAGTGTTTAAAGGGTCAAACGGTAAAAACATGTGCTATCCTCTTTTTGTTTTGTCAACAGAAACACACTTTTTAAGCATCATTGTCTTTCTGAAGTAGTCTAGATGTCATGCTTAAGTGTTGTTTAGCCATTTTTGCCTTTATCTCAGTTTTGCTTTGTGAAGCTGGAAGGCTGGTGATGGGTTTAGCAGACCTCTGTTTGGCTCCGTCCTCTTCCTTCTAGCCGGTGCTGCTCTTTTCCAGCTGAGCTTCAAGTTGCTGCTGGGTTTACCCTCTCTGGTTCGGGTTTTCTTATTGCTATGGTGATGTGTTGGCCTGCTAGGAACAACACTGTCACCACACTAGAAAATGCAAGGGTTACTTCTTCAGTGTGCTGCCACCAACTCTAAGAAAAACCTTGAAATATAGTGAAACAGAAATACTGTAATAAATAGTAGAATCTGGTTCTATGAAGCTCTGTATGAGGACTGAAGTGTTTTTATGTCCCGTCATTGCAAAAGCAGTGCACATAAACGTTCTGTGCAGTTAAGATCAGGTTTCGTGTCATGCTGCAGACTACAGGCTCAGTTTCAGCAGTTTCCCTGACATCACTGTGTCTGCGTGTGTGTGTGTGTGTAGTGGAAAAAGCACTGCTGCAATATTGTTCTCCCATACAAGTATTGTGCTTAACTCCCCTAATATGTTTGACATCATGGATGCAAGCTATAGTGTAAGCTTCTCCACAGTTCATAGCCTGGAGCGTGTTTTTCCATTTTTTTTTTAAATGACTGACAAATCTGTTCATCTGCATCATTATCAGTAACAGCCCAGCCTTTTTAGGAGTTTGCTATGCAGGAGAATGTCAACTATCATTCCCTGCGCATACAAATATTTACTTTACTATGCAGGTGTATTGCGAATATAACCCTTAATAGCTCATTGGGGAAAACATGAATTACACATAAAATACTGTTCATGACTTCAGGATTCAGATGGACTCTACATCAAACCGTATGGGGGTGGATTCGGTTTTCTTGAGATAATTAGAAGGTCCTTTTTTTAACAAGCACGCACAGTGTAATGGATTCTGTTGCCTTCTCTGTGACGGATGATGTTTTTGTTTACTGCTGGGCCCTTTTTCTTCCTTCCAGTATGCTCATTATTATTCTCTTGCTGCATAAAAAGGCAAGGGGTGACTTTGCATATGTGAGGACATTCAAATAATACAAATATAAATTCTACTTACCCGACACTTCTCTTTCCATTTCTCTGTCTGATAATGAAACAGTGACTGAATTATATTGATGTGTTTTTTTTTAATGGCAGTCCCTTCTCTCTGTTTTTCAGACTGCCAACGGCTACATCCTCCTGTTTGATGTGCTGGGTGGCGGGGACGACAAGTACCTCTATGAGCCTGTCTATCCAAAGTGAGTGCAGCACACACACAAACGCTCACACACGATGACACACACACGCTTTAGCAAAGTGAGCAGAGTGTACCAGGCTGTATCTTGCAGTGAGGATACACCAACAACAAATCATCTGTCCCTTAAGTCAAATGCTTCTCCTTTTCGATATGCTTGCTGCAACTCGTGTCCTCAGCTGGCAGCTGTCTGTCAGTGTGACTGGTTAACAATGCCAGCATGAATAAAGGAGGGCTTTTCTACTAAATCCTCTTACATAAGGTTGTCATTTAGCTCTTGACCAGATACTGGATGTAATAAACAGGTTGCTCTGTGATATGCTTGAGAAAAGCTTCAGCTATCACTGTTTTTGTTCTAAATCTGACAAATACACTATATGGCCACGTATATGAGCAGCCCAATATATACACCTATAGGTGATAAGTGAACATCTGATCTGAAAACAAAGCAAGAACAGCGTCCACTCTTCTGGGAAGGCTTTTCAAGTAGACCAAAGTATGTGCCTTGAGGTGCCCCCAAGCTTTTCTCTGTTCCTTTACTAATCCCTCCGTTTCTGTGCTTTGTATCAAGTGTCCATGTCTATTGTGTATGTGGTGTTGTGTGGCCAGAGTGTGTGTGTCTTTCAAATTCCTTGACAGCATACCAGCAGTGGTCGGCAAGTCGGGACGTATTCTGTGATCCTTTCCAGCTCCTGTTCACCCTCGGGGATTTCAAGTTCTCCTCATAAATCATTCCAATGATTCAGTGTATTATATTGTGTGTTTGCACAGAGGGAGTCCTCGTGTGAAGGTGACTCCGGGCTATAAGGAGGAACAATGTGCCCCTGCTTTGTCTCTAGAGATGAAGAAGCCTGTGGATCTGGAGGCCCCCATCACCAGGTATGATAACACCTTATCTCCTTCTCTCGTTCTCTGTTTTGATCTCCCTCTCTCGTTCTCTGTTGTGTCTTTCCCTCTGCCTCTTCCCCACATAGACCCCAGCTAAGATTCAAAATCACACAGGACACACCAAAAGATATGATCACGGTTATGTCTTGATGTTTTTTAACCCTCCCCCTGTGCATTGCTTTACAATTTTATGTACAGAAAGGTTCCTATCCTTTCAAAAAATATTCTAAAGACATAAACTACAAACTGGAGAGTTGTCTTCAATTAAAAACGACACAAATTAAACTAAAAAAAAGCATTCTTTTTGATAAGCTCTTGCATTTAGTATCTATTATACATTTAAAAGTGTGTGTGACTCACTGACACTATGATTTAAACTGCAGTCATGTTGTGTTTGCTTATGCAGCTCACCAGGGGATATTTAAATAATGTCCTCCATACTTGTAGCTGTTAGAAGTGACTCTCTCTTTGTGCATGGAAAGGGCATTTAGCTCAGAATAAAACTGGGGAGATTCTCTTCTTCCTCTAATGGAAAGTCAACATTGGCATTGAGAGATGTCTGAGGCTCAGCTCCTTCAGTCAAAGGCAGAGAGAGAAATTCCCAAATCTGCAGAGATGGATGTGTGCGGCGTGATGGACGGATGAAATTAGGTGGGTGGAAGGGTTTAGTGATGATTGATGAAAGGACGACAGAAGCTAACTTTATTTCAGTGTTGGCTGGATGGGATTAAGCGCTGCCTGGAGCGTAAACCGGTTTAAATCAGCCTCATCCGTTTTCTGGACAGTATTTATTCAGCTTATAAACAAGGCATTTTAGGAAATACACTTAAGTGAGATTGATTACCTGTTAAGCTGCTTATTACATATTCAGAATGAGACGTTTCTATTTCGTCTCGTCAGCTACATAACATATTATTTGGATGAATTTGTTACTTCGTTGGTTAAATGGCTTGTCACCATTTTAGATGGCTCAACCTGATTTTTTTTTTAACTTTTATAATCAGCATTACCTGTATGAAAACAGATCCATTTGTAAGACTTTAGCGATTTTGACACACTGCACAAACCGGCCAGCTGTAAAAAAATAAACCATCTTTTTAAAACCACCCTAGATGTGAGATCACAGCATTCATTCAAAAACATTTATCAGAGTAAGTCCTTTCATTTTCATCTAAGCCAATGTTAAATGTATGGTCAGTGAGAAGAAAATGACCATGAGAAGATTTAGAAGATGGCCCCTTATTAATCCCAGAGGGCATATATTGTTTTTCACTCTGTTCCTAAATACACACAGTAGATATACACACATGCATAGGAATACAGATATGCACATCCCATGCAGTTTTATGGAGAGGTGCCAGAGTAAGAGGCTGCCAGGTTTTCCTGTGCCAAGGAGTTGTTTTGGTTCAATCCCTTGCTCAAGGACTCCTCTGCAGTTCCCAGGAGGGGAACTGGCACCTCTCCAGCTACCAGTCCACACTTTATCTTTGTGGTGCGATTGTCCCTCATCTCAGATAAGATCTAGTGTCTCCTTCCTTCTTGTCTTCTCCTTTGTGGTTGTTAAGTCTCCTTTTTGTGCTTCTTTCTTCCTTTTTTGAGTTTTTCACCTTTACTCTCGTCATCCCCACATCCTCCAACTTGACGTCTTTGTTTGTCGAGTGACTTGAACGGCTCTGCTCTTTTGTCACTATTTGTGTTTGTCTTTGTGGTTATACCGCCTGCGTCTTTCAATGCCTTGTGTTCATCTGTCACATCTCCACTGTGTGCACTTGACAGAGATTACAGAGCAGTCAAGTGAATGAGAGAACTCCTGTCGGCATTTCAAAGGCACAGCTTGACGAGTGGGCATCTCCTGCTGTTAAACTACAGTACAAGTTGTTGCTTCCTCCACAGTTAAAGCCAACTGTGCTTGACATTCTCAATTGTATTTCTTTTTTTGCTTGCTTTTCTCCTCTTGGTTGTCCCATTGTGCCATCTTCAATCTTCGACCTGTTATGGATGTGGGAACAGAATGAAGGTCTTTACTCACAAGCACACTGTTTGTTTGTTCCCTTGTGTATATAGAGGACAGTGAGAGTTGGCACGGGCAGCTGTGTGGCCTCATCACAGCTGGCCAGTGAACGTTTCAGGCTCCACTCAGCTGGATGATGACTACTTCTCTGTTTTCTAACACTGCTGTTTATCATCTCATGCCCACTTCCTACCTACCACCCCTGCCTGTTTTCTTTCACTTCCTCCTCCACACTTTCTGTCTTAGCTTTTGAACCTCAATGCTCATTTCTGTGTTTCTTCTTCTTCTTCCTCCTCCCACCAGTCTGCAGTCCCTCCAGGAGGACTTGCTGGTGTGCACTGCAGACGGATACCTGCATGTGCTGCACTGGGATGGGCTCGGCAGCAACGGACGCAAAGCCATCTGCCTCACTACAATCCCCTTCTCACTAGACCTGCAGTCTGCTCGAGGTTAGAGGAGACCCAAACACATAGCTGAACATAAGCAAAGAGAGCACACATTATTCTAGTTGACAGTGAATGTCCAAAATGTCCTGATTTCTAATGCTAATCCATCAAATCTCAATACAAAGTGGACTTTTTGAATATACACAGACATGTTTTGGCTACTTCAGGTCCTGTTTCAATCCATTTGTATCGTATAATACTTCAACCCCTGTATGTGTGTTAAGGTGGTCCCTCTCCTGACCTGGAGGGAGTGCATATCCGTTGTATGGAGTATTGTGTGACGCTGGACGGCTTCGCTGTGGTGCTGAGTGACGGACGCCTGGGCTTCATCACGCCGCTCACCAACACCATCACCGCAGATGTAAGAATACTCGCAGATTAAAACGAGCACACAGTTTACTGAAGGGCAAACACAACATCCACACATAGATTATGAACAATATAATAGTTAGTCATTTAAAGGCTGAAGAAAGTCTCCGATTCCTCTTTTTAAGACGTCTGTGACATCAACTGACCCCATGACAGGGGAACTGACACCAAACTATCAGGAAATGAAATGTTAACCAGGCTTTTGTCCCACTTTTGAGTGGCATTTATAAACAGCCATATTATGTGATATTCGTGTGTGGGCATCATTTAAGGAACATATCAAATTATCATTATTACATACATACAGTAGAGGCAAAGTGTAAGATAAGAGAGCTTTTGAGAAGCGACACAGAGACGATCATCTGTAGCAATGATGCAACATGTTCTGGTCAACAAGTTTTTTTGGTTTCATAAATAGCGCTGGCAGTGGCAGCTCAATTTCTTTAATTAATATCATGATACGATGATTCATTCCAGGCCTCGCGGCTATTACTTTATCTTGGCAGCATTTAAAAGGCGATTACATTATCTTGAAATTGGAAAGTGGGTGTTATTTACTGCTTCTTCAAGATGAGTCCAGTGTTTGACTAAAATCATGACCAAGCAGTCTGTTGTGTTTTTAATCTCTGTTGTAGAGTCTCATTTAGACTTCTCAGTACATCCGTGAGATACATGTAAAGAATGAAGCCGTTTAAACACATTTTGCTGACCTGCGACCGACTTCACACACACATTTGTTATTCAAACATGTTTGGCGTGTGTGTGTGTGTCCAGCAGCTGCAGGGCGTCTGGGCAGCAGATGTGACTGACGGTACCTGCGTGGCTGTCAACAACAAGTACAGACTGATGGCCTTTGGCTGTGCCAGGTACGTGTCTCTCTGTCTGAATATTTCCAAAAAAGTGAAATCCTGTATCTGTCTGTTTGCACCCTTGTGTTACAGAGGTACATTGTTGTCCTTGTGGTGTGTGTCCAGTGTGAGAATCTGTCCGTTTGTGTTTGCAGAGGCTTACCTAGTGTGTGCTTGTTAGACACTCCTAATGGATTGTGCAATCTGTCAGGTTGGCAGGAATTCCTCATTTCTCCCTCCTCTACTTCTCAATCTCAGTCTGAAAGTTGTCTGGGTTTTGTACCTCATTGACGCACATGCAGTAGTCTTTTTCTTTGTCATATTTGCCCTAACAAGGAGATAAAGTAGAGGATAAGATCAGTCATGCTGTAGAAGAGGAAAATATTTTCAGTCTTTAGAGCAATTTGGGATTTTGCACCTTTGAAAACGCCCTTTTAGATCAAAGTGCTTATTACTCTGATGTGATTTTCACCTATGAATGAGCAGGAGGTAACATGTCAGTTAGCAGCAATTGAAGAAACTAGATTAAAGCCTCTATGATTAAGAATTTGCACACACACAACTCAAATAATGACCTTGATCGTGTTTTTGAGTTAGAGGTACATGCTTGTGTGTGTGTGTGTGCAGTCAACGAGAGGTGTAGCTTGGAGGTGCAGCTCTAAATTACAGCCCCAGGTCACTGACAGTGAAGCAGCCTACTGACCTGTAGCTGTTTGTTCATGTTGTATTACTGCACAGCTTTTACTCCCTGAAGCAACTTGTTATGACTGATAAAGTGTGTTTGTTTCCATCACAGCGGCTCAGTGCTGGTGTACATGATAGACACCGCGACAGGATCAATGCAGCTCTCACACAAACTGGAGCTCACCCCCAAACACTACCCAGGTATCACAACACATCTCTCTCTTTCCTTCTCACTGTCTGGTTGTCCCTCTCCTCTCTGGTCACAGATCATTTGCATTCCTTCAGTTTCCTTTGTCTTGGGTTCACAGGCCTGTTATTCCCCTCAGGTCACATCTGTTTTAGTCCTGTAATAGGATCTAAAGCCATGGCTCCCCCTAGTGGTGGAACAGCCTTCATAGGGCCAACACCATTCTAACAATGAACCGAATTCATTTATCCATTACTCGCTGGTCTTAAATACCATATTAAATTAAGTTTCCTCAAGAAAATGGCATGAGAAGGTATTAAAATGTCTTAAATCTAATTAAGGAATAGTGTAAATATTTTCTATTGCCTGCTAGGCAGTGATTGGCCGGTATGAAATGTTATTGTATCTGAAAATGGGCCCTCTGAAGACGTCACCCATTTGTGGAACTGAGGCAGCACCATTAGACCTATAATAAGTTCTGTCACTTCTTCTCGCTGCGCTTGTGCATCACATTGTCTTCTATTCAGAAAGTCATTCTCTAGTAAGTCTTGATACATGTGGAGATTTTTTTGCGAGCATACAGAAGGAAGGTACATAAACAAAACACTAATCAACTACTGCCAGAGTTTTAAACTAGAACTATATCATTCTGTAATATCAAACTCATTCAGAAGTGTTACCTCTGGGACAAAAACTAACTGGAATGTGTGTGTGAGAAAAGATTCTTTAACAAGCTCTGCCAGCTTAGCCTGTTAATAATAATAATAATAAAGTAATACATAAATAATAAATCACAATATAACGTGATTCAGTGTGAAATGTGAGAGAATACATCAATAAATCAATTGCCCCTTTGTAAAAGCATTACTCCATTTAAAATGTAAAACTATAACTAAAGCTTTTTTACTTTTATGTGTTCTTTCCCTGTTCAGACATTTATAACAAGACGGGTGCAGTCAAGCTGATCTGCTGGTCACCTGACTACAGTGTTACCATGGTTACATGGGAGTGTGGCGGCCTATCGCTGTGGAGTGTCTTCGGAGCTCACCTCATCTGCACTCTGGGCGAGGACTTTGCGTAGGTGGACACACACACACACACACACACACACACACACACACACACACACACACACACACACACACACACACACAGAGAAAAGGACTAATGCAAACTTCATGAAATGCAAATTCCATTCAAACATTTTTTGAATGTGCCCTCTCCTCAGGTATCGTTCTGATGGTACCAAGAAGGAACCAATTAAAATCAGCTCTATGGCAAGTGGATTATTTAATACCGTCTCACCCACATTTTTACCATTTAAAGGAATTTAAAACGGTTAATATGTTAAGAAATATAATAAGAGAGTTGAAGTTACATAAATCAATAAAATGTTTAAAATGATATAAACAATGGCTACAAACGAGTCGTATGAGTGCAGGTGTCATGTTTCTAGATACTATCCACTTCATCCTGCTTTTTCTTTATTAAATGTTTTATTGGATGTATTTAAATACTTTCTCTACTCATATATAATTTACCTTTGACATGTTAATGTTTTTTGTTATCATTTTGCATAATGACTTGCACTCTTCCCCCTCCAGAGCTGGGGAGCGGAGGGCTACCACCTTTGGGTGATCCCTATCAAGCAGGAGAAGAAGAAGAAGCAGGAGGAGCAGGAGGAGGTGGAGGACATGGAGACCCCTCCTCACCCCACCCTGCAGGCTGGCATACTGCAGTTCCACTTCATCAAAAGTGCCCTCACAGTCAACCCGTGCACGGTGAGAAAAAGATACATCGTCAGTTTTTTTGTACACGCATACGCACACTTCAAATACTAATTATCTATGTGTTCCCCTCGGCCGTATAGAGTAACCAGGAGCAGGTGTTGCTGCACGGGGAAGACCGCCTCTACCTGACCTGTGGTGACCCGTCGCAGGTCAACAATCCCTCTGACACACACCCACACACACACGTACACCCGCACGACGGCAGCCCGCTGCACCACCCCCCCAACCCCGACTCCTCTCTCTCTCAGGGACTCAGCACTTTACTGGGACACAAGCACTGGCACGTGGTCCAGGTAAGGATCATCACACCTGGTTTTGGGAGATTTATGTAACACAGTCAGAGTTTTTGAAATATTTATTGGGACATATATTATATTTGACTGCAGCCTCAGGCCAAGTAAATGTAAATCTACAAGTGAACGCTACAAACAGTCTCTTATGAAAAGCAGAAATCATCTAATATCTGGCATTATAGCTAGACTTTAAAATGATTGATCTAGTTGTCTGCATATTTCAGTATGATTTAGAGCTCAAGCTGCAACAAATGAAAACCATCATGCACTGAGAGCAACTGCATCTGCTTGGTAGTTATTTATTCAATAATCTGTGTGTTTTATTTAATGCGTAAAATGTATAGTTTCTTATCTTTTATTCATCATTTTTGTCTTCCTCCAGATTCACAGCACATACCTAGAGAGCAACTGGCCTATAAGGGTAAGTATCCAAATGTTTGTGTTTGTGTTTGTGTCCTGCTTCCTGCTTCAATAGGTCGCATGTCAGGAAAGTTGTGAGTCATTCAAAACATATATTAAATAATCTTTGAAATGATCCGGTTCATAGGCATCTGGTTCCTCTAACCTTAGTCACAGTCATCATTTCTCCCATGTGTGCTCAAACTCAGAAGCTGCTATAGTCCTGTGTCCACAAAGCAGTATTGTTTACAAAGTACACTAATCATACTGCCTTCACAAGGTTGTGTATATAAGCTGAATTAGAAAAGCCTATAAAGCACATTGTGTATGATAGATGGCTTTACAAACAAACCTGACTGAGCTACTATATCAGTAGCTAATGCGATTAAAACTGTTTTTGTTTATTGTGTTAGTGAGTATGTGAGTATGCGAAGTATGTATGTATGTGAGTATGCTCTGTCAATACATTACATTTTATTGTTTGCCTTATTGACTTGTGTGTATGTGTGTGTGCAGTTTGCAGCCATAGACACAGTAGGCCAGTGCATGGCTGTAGCAGGGAGGCGGGGCTTTGCACACTACTCCTTATTCACCAGGAAATGGAAGCTGTTTGGAAACATCACTCAGGTATGTGACATTATAGACCAAGATAAATAACATGTTAAATGACATCTTTTCTAGATTTATTTAAAATATTCTCTATTTTTTAGATGTTGTCCAGATTAAACATGATGGTCGTTATCTTCTGTATTATGATCTAGCTTTCAAAACATAATTTAAGCGTCTTGTTGGGAATCTTAGGTTTGTTAAGTGTGAAAATATTGCCAGTTGTGTTTCATGCTCAAATAAAAAAAACGTGTGTTTGCATGTGTGTGTGTAGGAGCAGAACATGACGGTGACAGGAGGGCTGGCTTGGTGGAAGGACTTTGTGGTGGTGGCCTGTTACAATTATACAGACCAGCAAGAGCAGGTGAGACTGAAGCACCACCTTTATTTCCTCTTAAATTCCCCTTTCTGTTTATCTAGATTCCAGTTGTGTAAGTCAGGTTCTGACGTTTCCTTCTGTTGATTCTAGTTGAGGCTCTATCAGCGCTCAGCAAACCTGGACAACGCCTTTGCATCCGTCACTAAACTGCAGTCAGACACTCTGCTGCTGAACGTCTTCAGAGACATGGTCATCCTGTTCAGAGCCGACTGCACCATCTGCCTCTACAGCCTGGAGCGGAGGAACGACAGGTACACATCACACCTTCAGTCTTACATTCAGAACTAGCATAGCTCCCACTGTTGCATGTCTGACTCTGGCTAGAAAAACCCTATGTTAATTAAATATACTATAAATTATATTTTCCCGGGCAAATCTCAGTCATTTGTATCCTTATAAACCTTCTCCCACTATATTCTATGTGTTGGCCCTTTCAATGTAAGAATTGGCCAAAATCTTCTAAATAAACTAGATTTCCTTTGAAGATTAAGATCAAGAGTAAGATCAACTTTTAATAATCCCTGAGGGGAAATTCAGCACCAGTAGTCATCATATTGTTAGGTAATATGTTACTCTGCCACATTTTCCCTTGGGAAAAGAAGCATTTAGTAAAAGCTATTGACTCGACACGACAGAAGTGTTCCTCAGCATTATGTCTGTTGAGATTATACATTGTTTTTAATGAAGTGTTTGGCGGTCTTCATAACCTTTACATGTTGCCAAATCTGTAAGGATTCCTGCTTACTTCCTTATTTTTGGTGACATTTATTTCAAGTCAGATACAAGCAATTCATTAAATCAGGGAACCTTCGTGAATAAAACATTAAAGTGAGCAACATCAAGTTCTCTGCCAACATTGACTGCATTGACTGCATTGACGTTTAATGAAAATGAGATTCTGTTTGGCAGTCGAATGCTGTTCCCTCGGATACGGAAAGCCCTGCATTTCTTTGCGTTAGGATTTGTTGGCGCTTTAGTGGTTTACCTGGAAGATATGATTCTGCCTTTTAATAATGTTCGCCTTTATTTCCTGTTTCAGTCCACACCCGACAGCCAGTGTGGAGTTGTTGCAGGAGGTGTCGATGTCTCGCTACATCCCTCACCCCGCCCTGGTGGTCTCCGTCACACTCACCTCTGTGCGCACAGAGACCGGCATCACATTGAAAGCCCCGCAGCAGGTAACACAGTAACAGACACATTCTGACCTATACTGCCTCTAAAGGTGCAAGTACCTTCATGTTTAACATATGTGTGTGTGTGTCCATCTCAGGCCTGCATGGCAGAGAGCATCATGTTGAATCTGGCTGGCCAGCTGATCATGCTGCAGAGGGACCGCTCAGGGCCGCAGGTACGGGAGAAGGAGACGTCTGCCAACTCCAAGAAGCTGGTGAGTCCAAACAATAACCAATGCATTGTCTCCAGTTTTACTTTAAAGGTCCCCTATTATAGTCTTTTTCATCAATATATCATATTTCTCAGTTATATCCAAAACATGTCTCTGAAGTAGGCCTGTTGCGATAAGCAATTAATTGACTTATTGTACGATAAATAAAAATGAACTCGATAACTTTTCTGACCTCGATAAATTGCTGTTTACATAATGATGTGACCAGCATTTTAGCCAGATGCGCTGTGGCTGCGGGCCACTCTACCGGCCAGGCGCGCTGTGGCTGCGGGCCACTCTACCGGCCAGGCGCGCTGTGGCTGCGGGCCACTCTACCGGCCAGGCGCGCTGTGGCTGCGGGCCACTCTACCGGCCAGGCGCGCTGTGCCCCCACCATGCCGACTTACTTTATTTAAAAATAATAATAATTTACTACTGCATTTTCACAAATGCAATTGTGTGTTTTGGCCACAAGAGAGCTCTGTTTTCAAGCCTGAGTCTATTTAATTTATTGTTTTGGTTGTGTGATTTATTTAATAATTTTTTTATAATTTAATTTATTTGTTTTATTTATTATATATCATTTATATATTTAAATATTATTTCACATTTCATTTGCAATGTTGAATGTTCAATAAAAAAGGATGTTCTTGAATTATTATTATATATTATCATTATGTCAGTGGTCTAAAATGGTCTTACAACGGTGCCGACAATATTATCGTTTATCGCAATAATTTCCGGGAAAATGTATCGTCCAACAAAATGAATTATCGTGACGGGCCTACTCTGAAGTGTTTGGATCGAAATACCAAACAGATCATGCATTGTAGCATCCCATAATCCCCCCTGTTTCAAAAGTGCTGATTCTCTGTCTGTTACTTTAGATGAAAATAAGGAGCCCCTCTGAGAGATATTTGGTCTAATAAAAAAAAATGTTGCTCTAGGAGGAGATTCAGGTGATAAGGTGGGCGGTGTTACCTTGGTTGGTGATTGGCTAATGGTTACACAAGCCAAAACAATATTATGACATCACAAAGTGGCCAAAATCTGATCAGCTCATTTTCAGACAGGATTTTATATAAATGGATCAGGACAAAAAGAGAGGGGGTCTTTTTTCCTGAAACTTTCAGAATCTCTTTACACAGAGGGGACACATGTTTATGTATAAAATACATGAAAAAGTGGATCTTGCATAATGGGTGACCTTTGTAAGTTGTTTCTTCCTTTGAAATGCTACAAAAACATGCATGGGGAACAATGAACCAATATTGAGACAGCTTGTTTGAGTTTTACATAATTGATTTATCCCATTTGCAAGCCTCCTAACTGACTGGGGAAATGTTGCTTACAAATCACTGGTGTTCATATTCGTTTCCTGTGCTAGCTTATATCACAGATGCATTCAACGTTCAGTAGTTGATGGCAGGGGATGTTGATGCTGGCCCTGATTACTTTTTCTTACGGGGCTATTTCTATCAGATCTGTAGCCTTTGGTGTCACTGGCTTATGTTAAATATTGTTCAAGCATACTAAAGTGCCAGTGATGGTGAACAGTAACCAGAGGTTTGTCCTATAAAAGACACTGTTGGGGGTTAGTTATAATCTTTAACGTCAGTGGTCTTAAAACCTTAAGCAACTTCACACATCTTGTCAATAGAAACATAACACAACCTGCACCCACAAAAGGGTGTTATACAAGTTTAGGTTAGATTTGTTGTCCCCAGGAGCAGCATATTAAGTCTAGGTTGTGTTATATATATATATATTATAAATCCCTTTCCTTCTCCCCTAGCTACAATTTTGTCCTCCTGTGGTGCTGGCCCAGTGTGTGGAGAACGTGTGGACCACCTGTCGCTCCAACAGGAAGAAGCGCCACCTGCTGGAGGCCCTGTGGTTGTCCTGCGGCGAGGCGGGCATGAAGGTGTGGCTGCCTCTGTTTCCCCGAGACCACCGCAAGCCCCACTCCTTCCTCTCCAGACGCATCATGCTGCCCTTCCACATCAACATCTACCCTCTGGCCGTGCTGTTCGAGGACGCCCTGGTGCTGGGGGCCTCCAACGAGACGGTGCTCTACGACGGGCTGCAGGGACCCTCTGAGCCGCTGGAGGCGCTGTTCCCCTACTGCACCGTGGAGAGGACCTCCCAGATCTACCTCCACCACATCCTGAGGCAGCTGCTGGTGCGCAACCTGGGTGAACAGGTACGAGGAGCCGCCATGCTTAGGGAAAAATCAACATGAGTGTACTTACGCATTCTGTGGTCTGTGTAAGGGGTAATAAAACAGTTCCATTACATGATGAGGCTTTGCTTGTTTGCACTCCTACAAAGTACATACACTCTTTTCCATTACTTTAAAACAATTTGATTTTTTTTCATAGAAAAGCCATATGGTACATCAATGGGAACCACAGTTACAGAATAAAAACAACCAGTGATCGTCGTAGTCTTAACTTCTATTGTACATCGACTGAAGAGCCATGCTTTTGAATTTGTTCCCTGTTTGTTCTTCTCTTGAAGTCATACAAAATTCAAACACGCATTCATAACCAAAACAAACCAGTAAACCAAAAAGGGAGAGAGTAATGAGCAAACTGACAGACAAAAAAAGAATACAAATAAAAGGAAACAGTAACAATTAACAAAAAGAAACAAAATTCAAGAACAAAAGAACAGATGAGGGACGGTGTCTCCGTTAGACAAAAATGGACGACATTTGAAGAAGGTTGAGAAGGGCTGCCACTTCGAATCGCCTCTCAGAGATGATTTCATCTTTTCCAGTTTTAGGAAAGACCTAACATCCCTGAGCCACTTATTTGGAAGTGTTTTTATTCCATGACTTAACGTCCTCTCTACCACAGGCTTTGATGCTGGCTCAGTCCTGTGCCTCCCTGCCCTACTTCCCCCACGTCATGGAGCTGATGGTGCACGTGGTGCTGGAGGAAGAGGCCACGTCGCGGGAGCCCATCCCCGACCCTCTGCTGCCCACCGTGGCCAAGTTCATCACCGAGTTCCCCCTCTTCCTCCAGACCATCGTCCACTGTGCCAGGAAGACGGAGTACGCCCTGTGGAACTACCTGTTTGCCGCCGTGGGAAATCCCAAAGATCTGTTTGAGGAGTGTCTCATGGCCCAAGACCTGGACACAGCAGCCTCCTATCTGATTATACTGCAGGTAGAGACACGATGACACTGCATGTTCATTATCAGTTAGCTGTTCAGAGCATAATGCAGAGATTATCAGACATCTTTTGCCTATTTAGCCTATTAATAACTATAAAAAAAAGTCTCATTTCTAGTGTGACCACAAATTAATTCATTTTGATACCTGACCTAAAACTGTTCAGGGTGTCATGCTATCAAAAAAAGCTCACAGTCTCCATCTTTCTCCATTTCTGCTCCTTCTCTCTCTCTGTGAAGAACATGGAGGTTCCAGCAGTGAGCAGACAACACGCCACTTTACTCTTCAACACGGCACTCGAGCAGGGCAAGTGGGACCTCTGCCGGCACATGATCCGATTCCTCAAAGCCATCGGATCTGGGGAGATGGATACTCCTCCCCCAACACCCACCACTCAGGTAGAGAACTTTAAATAATCTCTACAAACATTTATTTCCTTTGTTTGACACTTTTCTTTGACTAGCTCTATAGAAATCAGTCAGCAATCTGTTGGAATCTGTCCAACATTTTTTTATCTCAATTGTGTTTTTATTCATCAACATTGAAAATGCCACCTTATTGTTTTCCCTAATCCACAAAACCTGAAAAAAGTGGAATAATATGGTATAAAATAAGTCATTTAATTCCTATCCATTTGCCATGTAAATTCCTGCTTTAAAACAAGTACCAATGTATTCATTCCTGATGTTTAAATAGTAACAACTATTCAAAAAGCAGACAATCAAAGTGAGTAAATGACATTTTATAACAATTCAACATAAAGAGGCAACTCACAGAAGGGCAGAACAAGCATCAATTTAGTTGGTAGTAATCTGTCCTTGATTTAGCAAGTCTGAGACCACATTATTCTTTTCCCCCATACACATTTTACCGTAACATGAAAGTTGAACTGTGCGTCTCTGTGTTTAGGAACCCAGCAGCTCAAGTGGCGGTTTTGAGTTCTTCAGAAATCGCAGCATCAGTTTGTCGCAGTCAGCGGACGCCATCGCTACGGGGAAGTTCAACCTGCAGAAGACCTTCAGTATGCCCTCGGGACCCTCTGTTAAAGGGTATGGACACACTATTGACACAGGGTATGTTTTGTTCAAAATATCCTCACAGCAACATCTAAATTCTTCCTCTCCTTCTTCCTGTGTTCTTCCTGTCAGTCGGGAGGTGGACTGTGCGGAGAACATGTACATCGACCTGATGCTGTGGCGTCACGCCCGCCACCTCCTGGAGCAGGTCCGCCTCCGAGACCTGGGATGCTTCTCCGCACAGCTGGGCTTCGAACTCATCGGCTGGTTGTGTCGGGAACGGAACCGCGTGGCCCGGGTCGAGGACTTCGTGTCTGCGTTGAAGCGACTCCATAAAGACTTCCTCTGGCCCTTCCCTGTTATCCCCGTGGGAAGCATCAGCTCGCCTCTGAAGAACGGACGCTGTCGCCCAGGTGAGCGAGACACGATCCAGGAAACACAGGAGCTGTCTGGGGAAACTTCAGACAGTTTTTAGGTTTTATTAAAGGTCGCCTATTATACTCTTTTTCATCAATATATTATAGTTATCGGTTATATATAAAACATGTCTCTGAAGTGTTGGGTCAAAATACCAAACGGATCATTGTAGCATCCCATAATCCCCTCTGTTTCAGCCCTGTTTCAACCTTACCTTGGTTGGTTATTGGCTAATAGTTACACAACCCACAAAAACATTATGACATCATAAAGTGGCCAAAATCTGATCAGCTCATTTTCAGACAGGATTTTGAGAGAAGGTCTTTACACAGAGGGGACACATGTTTATGTATAAAAGACATGAAAAGGTGGATTTAGCATGATAGGTGACCTTTAACATGAACCAAAGTTGGCCCTCTGCTTCCCCAGTTAGCAATACTCTCAGCTCTATCCTAATATTTCATGTTGTGTTTTTGTTGTTTCCTAAGCGCTGAGCACTCGGCTGTTGAAGTCTCAGTCGGCTGACAGTCTGCTGAACAGCGACATGGACACGGGGCCCCTTCAGGCGGACAACACCAGCCACAGCTGGCTGGACAGGCTGGAGGACAGAGCCAAGGACATGGACACGGCCTCCTCCGCCCACTCCAACCAACACTCCCCACAGACACACGACGCCTTCCTGTCTCTGCTCACCAACAAAGGTAAAACGCAGTTACTAACAGGAGATGTATTTCAATGAATCCCTATTTCCTCTCTTAATCCTTCTCTTTCTCTCCCCTCTAGTGGAGGAGTACAGCGTGGGCTCGGCCACAGACCTGACGGAGACCAGCTCGGTGGTGGATGGTGATTGGATGATGGTTGATGAGAACTCGTCCACTTTGAGTCTCAGTCAGGCCGAGTTGGAGCACATCTCCATGGAGCTGGCTAACAAAGGCCCGCACAAGTCACAGGTGCAGCTCAGGTGAGACCCTAAACATCCCTAACTCTGTATTGATCCAATCATAAGCCTGTATTTGACAGCGGTGCCTCTCTTTCCCTTCAGGTATCTCCTTCATGTGTTCATGGAGGCGGGCTGTCTGGAGTGGTGTGTGGTGATTGGTTTGATCCTGCGGGACGCCAACGTCATAAAGCAGGTGATCTGCTTCCTGGACAGCCCCGAGGTCCCCCAGGAAACTGTGCAGAGCATCCGGAACGGCCTATTGGCTGTCGACTCGTGGGTGTCCACTAACTGGTGGGTGTAACTTTGAAGTGTAATGAAATAGGTATTTTTGGAATCAGAATATAAGTGATTAGTAGCCATTATGTGATGAACTCTACAGCATTGGTTAAGGCAGCTGTGAACACAAACATGAAATAAGCATTTGAACCCTCTGGATGTTTGTGATGTGAGATTCAAGCTTAGTTTCTTTAGAGAGCACATTTTAAAACAACAGAGGTTGACCAAAGTCAAACATCCAACAATGCAATGTATAGGAAATCTTAAAACATTAAAAAAAATAGATACAACCAGAACAGTGCACATTTCCCTGTTGTGAGACTTGTATATCGTTTTCTTGTCTTAACAATGACAGTGGCGTGTATAAAACAAAATGAGGCCAAATTCATTCATAAATACATATCACAGTATTCATTTGTGCCCATTCTTCAAATAAATTAAATAAATTAAAGTTGGAAACATTTTCAAACTAATCTTAGTTAAAAGCCCAATCACTTATTTGCATATCAAATCTTTTTATAAGCAATCTGAAGCTTCTGTTTTAAGGCATGAGCTGCAAACTAAATCAAGTCAACCCTATGGAGAGCTGTGATGAAGGCTGTTGTGTTTCTAACAGCATTTTCCAGTATCAAGAATCATTGACCTACATTGGATTGATTTTTCCAACTTATAACTGAACTTAAGAGGCAATAAACCTCACCTCTAGTGAGCGGCCCAGCCCTTCATATATTTTTCTGTATGTGGACCTCGGTGAAAAAATCAAAACATTGTAGAAAATGTACCCACTCTGACCTCTTTCCCTCCTCACTCTCATCCTTTCTCCAGCCTGGGCTACAAGCCCTTCCTGAGCCTGATCCAGCCCCAGCTGCAGGACCTGATGGAGGCGGCGGTGGAGGCGGTGCAGCCCGAGGCCTTCCAGCCCACCAGCCAGAGCTCCAAGCTGGGCGGCTCCGAGGGTCCGGGAGGGGCCGCGGCGCCCCGGGCGGAGGACATCCGAGGAGTAGCGGCTCCTCTGGGCCTCGCCCTGCCCTCCCTGGAACCCCCGGGAGGGTTCCCCCGTCCCCCCTCTGAGGACTGTCCCCCCGAACAGACGGAGGAGCAGAGGGAGGAGGAGGGGGGGACCTACGACTGCACCCTGTCATGAAGCCAGGAGCCTCCTCTGGACTCACACCTGTGACAGAGGGGGGCGCAGCAGGGGCTGGACTGGAAATATACTCTTGTTGGAGTGTGTGTGTGTCTGAGTGTGTGTGTGTGTGTGTGCGTGTGTGTGCAGAAAGTACCTCTCCTGCAGGTTCTTACTTCAGTCAGTATTATCCACTCTTCAGATGTACCCCCCTGTGGATACCGAGCTACAAACCGGACATCTCACAGACCATAATGTGCTGTTAGACAAAAGCCACCTGTCAGTTTGTGCGTCTATACATCAGGTGTGTGGAAGCTGTGGACCAGCACATTTGATTTTTTCAAATTCCAAGACAAATATTCTGTGTGCGTAGCTTTTGTTTGACACTCAAGTTCAACTGGAGGCTTTGGAACGTTTTATTTGTGTCACTGTCCAGACAAGAAGCTCCATTGTTTCCTTTGGTGTAATGTGTGCAAGAATCAGTTCAAAGACGAGCCCTGAGTGTGTTAGCATCATGCTACATCGCCTAGCAAAACGTAGAACAAAGCTCTAGTCGTGAACCATTTACAGGAAGTGTGTCTGAGCCCACGGCGTGCACGAGAGGTGTTTCATACTTTCATACCTCATATGATTTAAAAATATTTTGTGATACCTTTTTCAATAATGTAACAGTGTACAAAATAACATTATTTTTCTATCCATTACACCTCACCCTTCTTGAGCCTCCCCTGAGAAGCATGGTATGAATTCTTTGAGAAGTGGCGCCCTGAGCATTTCTCAGAATACGATCGCTGAGTGTGCGGATTAGTTTCCAAACACATTTCATACACCACCTTTGCTGATACCCAGACCCAAATATGTCCGAGTGCGCTGTCTGATATTCTTCATGTGTTCCAGATGTAAGACAACAATCAGAGCAGTGTTGAGCAGATTTAAAGCGCCATAAAATATAAAACCAAATGATGTGATATGTTCTCCAGCTTTTAAACACACATTTGGGTTTAAGTGTCCGTCTGGGAAATGAGAATGTGTTTTCCTTTCATCAGCGAGGCAGATTTTGTGTTATTAAATCCATCCTACTCTGAAGACTTCATACTTATTGAAAGAGGATCCATCCCTTCCCTCAGCAGCAGTGTTAACAGTCAGTATCATTTTTAAAGTGAGAATGGTTGCATTGGCTATGTAATGGAAGAATTGTAATCATATCACCTCCCTGAACCTCTAAGACTATGATTTCTGGTTTGTGTGGATTATCTGGATGCGTGTACCACATTGTATTGAGAACGTGTTGATTTGCTTGGTGACTCATCACATGCAAAATTATTTTAATTGTATTAGTCTTCATTTATGGGATTATTTATTGGCATTATAGCTGCCTCTGAATTTTGCTCGGTTTGTTTTTAATGACTGATAACAGACTTGTCCCCCTTTAATGAAATCAAACTCGTGTATTGGCTCTCTACCGCAGGAACTAAACGGTTCATCAGTCAGTATTATATTGTGCAATGTATCGAAATGTTACTCAGCTTTATTTTTGTATGTTCTTTTCCCCAGCTTTTACTGAACATGATAGACCAAATTATATTTTATAGATACCAGTTAGCTCTCTTGTAATGAGATGAGTCGGGTGTCGTATCTGTATGAAATTCTTCAATGTATGAATTGCCTGTTTTGTTCAAACACTCACAAAAGGGCAGAGTGATGAACTTAACATAACCCCCCCCCCCCCCCCCCCCCCTCTGAACAAGCGTACAGCAACACTACGCTGCTCTGCTGTACGCTTTACTTGAAAAACGGTAACACGACGAACCAAAGACTTGACGTCCAGAGGCCTTCTGCTCCCACCGGTTGCTTCAAATCGAGTGTCTCACAACGCAAAAGGGGAGACAACAAACACCCTCACCCCCCCCCCCCTCTCTCCTTCCCCCCTCCTCTCTCCTCAGAAACTAACCATTGATGCTCAAACTCATTCTGACGAGACAGTTTCCTAGGGAAATGATGAATACTGCAGATGTTTTCTGGTTCCCTTCTCTGCAGGTGGGGGCAGGTCATGGTACTCCAGGTGCATCCCCCCCTCCCTCCGTGTACAGTTTAAATTGTTGCCTGATTCCTGAGTAGATTTTTTTTTTTTTTTTCTGGGGCATCGGCAGCAAACACCCTCAGTGCAGTGTAAAGATACTCTCTTGTACATTTGCCTTTTCTACTCATGTTTGGTTTTCTACTTCATTTTTTTTCCTTGTACATAAAGACCAATAAATTATTTTTAAAAATGATGAGTGGCCTGTGTTTCTGCTGTTTGTTTTTACATGTAGTTATGAGTTACTAACAATATTCTATATAGAAGAAACCCTGAAATCTAATAAAACCAGTTGTCTTATCTGTAAAGTTTGATTCTAATTTCTGGTACATGACATGGAGGCTATTGAAAGATGAACCGAGTTTAAAAAGGACAACAACAATATTGTAATAAGCGTTTTTTAATGCTGTACAGGTGCTAATTTAATTCAAGCTTTTTGCATAAGATCAAATCATCCTGTCCAATCAACAGATGGATACCCTGTCACCAGATCAATCCCAATAAAACCAGTCATATCAATCAGTTCATTACAATTGACAGACAAATATGCAATTAGAAAAAAAAAACAGCAGTTCAAGGAGTTATTGAACATTTCAAATAAATCACAAAAATGAACAAAATCATCAGTTTAAAAAAAATAACATTAATTTAACAACAGTTAGAGAAGTAGGCATGAGTGATGTTGGAACAGGTAACTACAACAAAACCGTTAACAATTTGAACATCTGTCCCATGTATGTCAGTACATTGTGTGATGAAGGTAAAGCTACATCCTAGTGTGATTTTACTCAGCCTCTCAGTCTAAACTGAGTTACATTAGATTCTGTTGCAAACTATTTCAAATCACTGTTTAATTTATGTTAAGCTCTCTCCGTGTTTCTTTACTCTAACAGTGGGAGCACCAGCGGCGTCAGCGGAGCCGTTTCACAGCGTTTTCAATCGAGACGTCTTTCATCTGTGTCCGACGTTTACGGCAGTTCCTCCTGTGGTCGGGCTTTTATTGAAACAAACGGACCTCTTGTCAGTCATTAACCGCCAACACATTTCATATTATAAACTCTAAACACACCTTGAAATGGTCAGACTCTGAAGGTCATTTGACAAACTGTTATCTTGATGGAAATATGAAGCTCAAAACATTTGGAGAAAAAAAAATCTTGTTTCCATGTTTTCCTTCAGTGTCTAACAACATCACTATATGACTTTTACACAGATTATTAGAAAATAACCATTTACACTTGTTAATAAAGCTTTTCCTCCCGTAGACGCTCTGCATATTCACTTTCAATAGAACGGATTTAGATCAACTCAAGTCACTTAAATAAGCATCTACACACTGGTGTGTGTGTGTTGAGGTTCGGGTAGAGCAGCACTGAGTTAACGCAGCATCTGTTACACACACATTTACATTAGTGCCAACTACTGTCCATGGGTTTGACTTGCTTCCACTGCTGTAGTATCTGTGGTTAATGGCTAAAACGCACACAAAACACAGGTATGGTCCTATTAGGATTGACAAAAAGAAACAAACGTGACGCGTAGAATCAAATCTCTTTGTCAACTCTTTCACCGGCCAATAACAAAAAACTATTCCTACAATACAGTCTAAGTGAATTCATAACAGAGCAGGTCTGATATGTTTAGTTTTATGAAGGGACACTGAGGACAGATATGTCACCTGCTCTCACACACAGATGGAGTTAGAGTACTTAAAAGACGTGTGCATAAGAGAAGGAGCAGAGTAGGACCGTTAACTGCCGAGTGTCGTCTAAGGCTGGGATGGATTTAAGTTTAAACTCTCCAACAGACAACAGCATAAAAACAGTGCAGCACCTGATAGCTTTACAAACCGCTGAGTCGTTGGTGTCCACGACAGTAAACAGTTTGTGTCGTTGGAAGCGAAATGTTAAGGCCTCCTTCATGTCAGCATGTCGGAAAACATGGATCACAACGACATGTGTAACACAAAGCGGACAAAAGACGAGTTTTTCCTGATGCCACATTGAGAGGGAGTCAAACTTTAGACAAGCAACAGTGGACATTTTTGTTTGAACAGATTCCTCAGTGGGGGACGGTCACTTGACAACAGATGCGATTTAACCGACTGCAGAAATCAGAGGTAGCCTGCAGATCATCATAACGGTGCGTTATAATCCATTACAAATAATCTCTCTAAAATGAGTTAGCTAAATCATTTCCATATGTTCAACAGTCACAGTTCAAACCAGTCGTCACGAGGACAATAAAAAGCTGTTATCACAAAGTATGGATCACTGCAGAGGTAGTGGTGACACTCAAGGGGCCAGTATACTCCCTCAGACGGCTTGTTAGGTGGTGAAACAGCTCCGTAAAGCCCCTCCCCCACACCTGTTCATTTCTAGAACTTTCCGAAAGCAACATTAACAACCACTTTGCACTTAAATGACCGATGTTAAGGGGATCCTTGAACCTTCCTCTAGCTTTCTTGGCACAACACTTTGTCACTTTTCACATGAGCGACCAAGTGCAACACTCCGAGTGCATTTCCTCCAGGAGACATTGACCTTTACCCCCATGTGTGTAATCTCTCCAGTCACTGCGCCGCTTCTCTTCAAGTGTGACCCGGCCCTGAATGTACCGTGGTGCTGTCAGGGGCCGGCTATCTGAAGGAGCAAGTTGTGGTACTTAGGCTCTAGATGGAAAGGCTCCACATGAGATGAGTGAACTATGTGAAATATTAGCAACACACACACAAGATAAGATACTGCTAAGAGCTGTCGGCACCGATGTGAACGTTTCAAATCTAAAATCAAACCCATTTCAGAACAACTTAATTAAATAAACTCTTTAGCACAGTGTAATTCCTCAACGGTTATAGGGGACATATACATTTTTATAAAAGAAAAGCTTAATAAGATTATTTAATTCATAGTCTTATCTCTTCTTCTTTCTTTTTTTTTTTATTATCTTCCATTTTATTATACTTCCATAGGTGCTACTGGAGGCAGCTCTTAGTACAGCATAGTCGAGAAAAACGATTACAGCAACAGCAAATGTAAAAACCAACACGAAGCTGACCCTGCTGACGGTAATGAGTGTGGAGTTGGTTGGTTTTCCGGCCGCTCACCCTCAAGGCCCCGGGGAATAAGGCTAGTCACAGGACATTCAGACTGCCCCTGTTTCCCTGGGAGTTCTCATCAAGACCATTTCAACACAAGTTAGCTTTGATCCCACCAGGCTGAAACATTAAGACTCATATCGCCCTCTGCACAGACTCCCCAGGAAGGCTGCTCCTTTAAAGGACACATTGACATTTTGATTCTAGTCAGCTGTTTCCATCCAACAGGCACAGCATCTGCACGCCAGCTCTCTGACAGTTAACGCAGATTGTTGGCGTTCCTCATGTAAACACAGCGGTACGACTTGCTAATCAGTGGTGCTACTGAGGAGTTCAAATGAGCAATTTCACTGTTAACAGAAAAACAATTTGCTCAGAATATAAACAAGTGCATGTTGGTGAAAAGCAACTTTCAAAGTGTCAACGTTTCCAGTCAAAGTCAGAGAAAGGGTCAAACTGATCCATCGGTATGTATCTACACCTACAGTGCAGGTAGTGTTCATTCCTGCATAGGAAGCCTGATGTAATCTGAGGGGTTAGCAGGGGAAGTGGTTATTCATTCGGCGAGGAAGGAGGCATGAGGGAAAGTGAGGAGGAGGGTGAGATGGATCGAGTAAAGCAAAGGCACGACAGATTGATTTAAAAAAAAAAAAAAAAAAGGAAAACGGAACCCCTTTGTTTCGCTAACCCAGGAGAGAGCACGAGGCTTGTGTTTGCCGGTGCCTCGGACGTTGAGTTTGTAAGCTCTCTCATAGGCTTACCTCTGCCGTGTCTCCGCGCCTCCTCCTGCTCCGTTAGCTATAAGCCTGCTGACACAGTGATGGGGGTCTCTCAGGGAGCAGGAGTAGAGTGTCAGAGAGGAAAGGCTGGTTCCTTTAAATCAGTTTGTATGTCTCAGGGGGGGGGCCTTTTGACCCTCAGCTCTCCTCGGCGCCGTCCTCTGCGATATGTGGCGTCCCTCAGTATCGGTACATGTCGTAGGTACTAACCCAAGACGAAGGAAAAGCCCATGAGGGAAACTTGCGGAGGACTTCCTCCAGCTGAGCAGTCCTACTGTCCTGTCCGAAGAAATAGTGGGTGGAGATGGCAACGGAGATCATCCCCTCGGGGCCTGAGGGGTCTGGGTCCCTGGGGGGCTGAGGAGGAGAAGGACAGACCCCTGGTTAACACACAGTTACCATGTGAGAGGACCAGCAGTGATCCCAGGCCTTAAGAAAAGAACACCTTGTCTTCGGCTTGGTTATGCTGCATGTGTTTGAGCTTATGCAACGGATTTCAAAAGAGTCTTTAAAAGGTCATGGAGTTTGTCTCAACAATTTGTCAAATGAAGTCTCCACAATTGGGAGTTCTCTCATGACAGCAGTCCAGCTGTGTCCTGCCAGGAGCTAATCTCCTGCAGACATCACTGAAGCTGAAGGTATTCAGAAATGCAGAGATGTGAGGAATGAAAGGAATGACATCAAAACAAAACTCAACATCTGTCTAAACACTAAGCTGTCAAAGGTGCAGCAGTACCTGGTGATTTATAGAATGTTGTAAGCAAGGAAAACAGTGTTAAAATAATAGTTTGGGTATTTTGTTGTTGGGCATAGCAGCTGGTCAGGTTAGCTTAGCATACATACAGGGAAGAGGGGTAAAGAACTAGCCTGGCTCTGTCTAAAAATAGAAGCCACTGTCATCAATTGTTTCCTTTAAATACACAGGTTATAACCAATTCATTAAAAAACATGTAATTTAACATTTAGAAAGTTAGTCAGTGATATAAAAATGTTCTTCAATTTATCTTCAAAACCCAAGCCAACAGATGGCAATGACTAACAGATTATATTCTCTTACCAAAAATAGAAAGCAGTTTGAGCAAAAAAATATGAAAACAACACCAATATAAAATGTTAATGAGCACAATGTGTACAGACTCTTCTCGGGCTGCAGGCAGTACCTGTATTTCAAACCAGAAGGTCCACGAGGGGGCGTCGAGGCCTCGAGAATAGAACACAAAATATTCTCCACTCAGATCGAACTGAGGCGTCCCGTCTCCGAAGGACCACGTGGAGAGGCCGGCTCCTCGATGGGGCATCAGATACAGGGACATGTGACTGGGGCCTGCACGTAAACACAGACACATCAAGATCAGCCAATTGAGAAATGAATGCATCCCATTATTGATAGTTTGTATCCGTGACAGTTGTTATACTTTATTGGTTACAGCAGAACCGCTTGGCACCAGGGACCTAAACTGAAATGTAAACAAAGACTTAACACACTATAATAATGAATGCATATCACATGCTGTTCCTCTGCAAAGGTTTTTTATGGCAAAGATGGACTTGTTAAAATGTTCTTACGGTACTCTTGAACATCAACATTCCTATGACAACTTGGTCAACTTGACCTGTAGACGAAGGTTTGTTTTAAAGCTCTAAAGCAGCTACCGAATGGACCTTGGATAAAGTCATTTTTCATTATCTTAACAAGATCAAAGTTGACCTTTCAATCAATAACTTCATGTTTTAAATATCCCTGTGCAGACATCATCTCAGTGCTGATGTAAACTCTCCCCCTCATTTGATGTGTAACCAGATATTTTGAGTGTGCCCAGTCAGCCTGTGAATATGCTGCCGTCATCAGGGAGATTCTCTACACTAATCCTCTGACTCAAGTTCAACTCAAGTTCAACTCAAGTCACATGACATTGGTGCTTTTTTTATCGTGTCTCTTATCCCTGCCTGCATGTCCTTAGAGCAGGGGTGTCAAACTCAATTTCATCGCGGGCCACATTGGCATTATGGTTGTAACTTTCAATCTCAATCTTTATTTATTTATATTGCACATTTAAAACCACCTCAGTTGACCAAAGTGCTGTACAGGGAACAAACATAAAATAACACAATGGGAGTAAAATAATAAAACGATAATTAAAAACGAGATAAAAAGCACAATAACTAGAAACATATAGAAACACATACAAATATCTATAAATATATAAAATGTTATGTTCAACTAGTATTAAAAGCCAGTGCAAAACTTTAAGACTATATATAAATATATATATATAAATATTTAATATATATCAAATAATGTATTATATTACAGTATTGCCTCTGCATTGGATTATTATGGGATAGGGTAATAACTTCATAATTAACTACGTCTGAAAACAGAAGTCTAGGGCAAATAATTGCAAGTCTCTTCAGTGTGCACGTCATAGAATGAGATGCATTGTGGGACATGTAGTTTATGTGCAACGTGCTTTTGTAAAGCGGCATTCAACCGTGTAATAAACATATTATATTCTTTGCAAGCTCTTGCGGGCCACATAAAATGAAGTCGAGGGCCGGATTTGGCCCCCGGGCCTTGAGTTTGACACCCCTGCCTTAGAGGAATGTGTGTTTTTAGTGTCGTATTTGTGAAGATCTGGTTACATTACATTACATGTCACTTGTTAGACGCTTTTATCCAAAGCGACTAACATACTCAATACTGTGGACAATCCCCACAGGAGCAATTTGGGGTGAAGTGTCTTGCCCAGGGACACAACGACATGCTGACTGCAGTGGGGTTTGAACCTGTGACCACCTCCACGGTTACATTAAGTGCTCCTGACCTTTCACACTGAAGGTCATCTTGACCGTCCCCCAGCTGGTCTCCTCTCTGGACAGCAGGCTGAACTCCACAGGAGAGCTGGGAGACACTTCTGGAGCAGGGAGGTACCAGTTCTTCCTGGAAATACAATCAAAACACTTTAAGGATGAATATGGAATATGAAAATCAACATGAAGTCCATTCACAATTCAACAAAACAAAGTGCAGGGAAACAGTGCATTCAGCTAAAAGCATGCTTTATGCATTACTGACTTGCTGAGGAACTTGACGGGCAGGAACCAGGGGTAACCGCAGAAGGGCCGGTCCTCTCGGCAGCTGGTGCGGATGCTGTCGTTGATGTCGGGGATGTGAGGCGTGATGTGCTGGATGCCTGTGTAGTCAAAACTGTTGATCCACAGACCTGAGTCCCGGCTCTCCACCTGGCCCTGCAGGTTGTGGAAGGTCCGCGTCGTGTGCTGAGGGAGGGTGGAGGAAACAAAGGTTTCATGTACTTTGAAGGGAGACACTACAGGTGAACATGGTCAAATGTTTACAAATAGATCAAATGACGAAACTTCCACAGTTTATTACTTAGTTTTAGAAATGTTGTGTTTATATAGCCAAATGAGGAATTACCTAATGAATCTGCAGGAGCAAATAGGTAAACTCTATTAAAATAAACACCTCTGTATTTGTAATGCATTCCTTCCAGTAGTCTGAAAGCAGACATCTTTTAGGAGTAAAATAGCGAACCTCTCACATTTGACCAGTGCATGAAACAAATATATTTCTGCCTGTCACGTCCCTCCTGAGCTCTCTGTGATTTATATCAGCAAGAGATGGAATCAGAGCACTTCTATCCAATCACTAAATCTTGTTGAGAGATGTCATGGTGTGCCGTGTCCCAGTTACAAAAGAAACACGATGAATAGTGGCTTTGTATTTCACCTGCTGTCAACGAGAGATTTTAATCAGCCAAGCAGGAGCAGCACAGCAGGACAGCTAGTTGTGGCCAAAGAAATTACCGAAAAAATGCAATTGAATGTTACTTTTTAAATGGATTTCCACCCAGTGAATAGAAAAGGAGTAATGTATGAGGGTTTTCAATATTCTTTCCTTAGCCAGTATTAGAATACATGTTTATGAATGAGTCTGAGGGCACATATGTGTGCTTCTGTGAGTGTGACGTGACTTCTAACCTGCAGGAAAACTCTTTTTGGCCTCGGGCTTTCTGGACTGGCCGAATAAGGAAAGAGGAAGCCACAGGACATCATCAGGAACGTGACGACGAAGACTGATGCCAGACCAGCCAGGATCCACTTAGTGCTCCGTGCCAAGTAGATGAAATGCAGCTGAGACACACAGGGAAACATAAGATGTTACTGGAGGAAACAAATATGAGGATTTTTTGATGTTATGGTGGATTATTCATTTAAAAAGATTAGTTTCAGACAATAATCCAAGCCACCATATGCTAGAATTACATAACATTTTACTGCCACTCAGTCGAGAGGGGTCTGCCTGCAGGCCTCCACTCTCAGGACAGTTCCGGTGCAGGCTCCACCCTCAGGACACCTCCACTCTCAGTACAGGAAATGACAATTCAGACAAACACGTTTTTTTTCCCGCCCCCCGAAGGACTCGTCTGATGGAAGTTTTCAAATCACAATGGAGACTCATCACGGAGGTGATGAGTCCGCTCACCATGCACTTTGGGTCGGCCTTGGGTCGGCCTTGGTTAAGCCCTTTTGAACCCCCCAGCCAGGTTCTCGTAAAAGTTGACTTTTTTTTTTTCGCTCAAATGACACCATGGAGGAATGTGGGGGTGGGGGACTTCCCCCACTCTGCGTGTCTCTTCTTTCCCGGGCTGGCCGATATGAAGCGTGACCAAGACGCACCGTCCGACTCAGGGGTCCCACCACGGGTCCCGCAGCGGGGTGGAGGTTCCCGGCTGGAACCTCCCCACCTCCGCCGCGGTGCACCCAGCAAACACGGTTGTTTCTCGAACCCTCCACTGTTGTCTAGCGGGTGTAACTAAAATACAAGATGTCGTTATTTATATATATATAAATATATATATCTATATATATATATATATATATATAGATATAATAAGTGTCAGTGCGATTTTATTTTGTATTGGCGTGCATTTCCTGTTCGGAAAGTGGTGCTGTACTGAGAGTAAACAATACAAGGTGTACCTATTTATATATATATATATATATATATATATATATATATATATATATATATATATATACACACATATGTATATAATAAGTGTCAGTACGATTTTATTTTGTATTTGCGTGCATTTCCTGTTCGGAAAGTGGCGCTGTACTGATAGTGGCGATTTTATTTTGTAATTCTTAGTGTGCATGCACTTCCTGTCCTGAGAGTGGAGGGGTCCTGAGACTGGCTTACTCAGTCAGTCAACTATACACTGCAGTAAGTTTGCTTATCTGTAGGCAAATAATGGCTGTCAATAAACTGTTTAAACAAAACTTTGCTACCAGATTTCAGTGCTTACACTCCCCAATAAGCGCTTTCACATCGGAGTACTTTTCCCTTTTAGTTCCGATAGTTCCTGGGATTTTGCGTTCACACCAAAAAGAGAACTTAGTTCATGAGAAATGCCCCCCCCTGCTAGAGAGCAGGTACTTTCCTGGGGAGGAAAAAGTTCCAATTTCTGATTGGCTGGGCGAATTGCAAACCGTGCCCTGTAAAACTCTGAAAGGTTTTGTGAAGCCGCCTTTGTATTTTGCCAGTCCCCAACTCCGGGGACTTCGGGTGGCAGTATATGCCGTGAAGTTGTTTGTGGCCTGCCAGACAGTAAACCCAAAGCAGAAGAAGAAGAAGAAGAAGTGACGTCAGCGGCTTCATTTGCGTAATCTTCCCCCAGGGACTTATTCCGGTGTGAAGGCGATCTGCTCTTTAGTTCCATGGGGGAACTAAGTGCTTGGAACTAAGTGCTGGGAACTAAGTACGGCAAAGTACTTTGTGTGAAAGCGGCTAATGTGACCTCAAGGTGAATCTGCTGTAGAAATAAGATATATACCTTTTATTCATTGTTGTACACAATGTGGGAATACTCACAAAAAAGGAGGAGAGGAAGATGGTTGCCAGGGTGACGAGGGTGGCCATTACTACCTCAGGCGGTATCTCAGTGCCGCTGCGACCCATAATAGGTGTGAAGATCTCAAACACCACCCAGATGAGGAACATGAAGTGGACGTAAGGCAGCCCCAGGCCCAACAGATAGAGCACACTGTACTTCAGTGACGCTCCTGCAGGAAGAGAGAGGGAACAGTTGTTCAAATTAAACTTAAACAGCCAAAGATCCGACATTAAAGAATATTTTGGCTGCCCTGTAGGTTTTTTGTTATGTCTTTATGTCTTTATTAGGATCCCCATTAGCACTAGCACTAGCATGAACATTGGCTATTCTTCCTGGGGTCCTCACACACACAAAACATACATAAACATACAACAAAATTAAAACAAAACAGCTCATCATTTCATGCAATTTACGTATGAATATAAAATGATAAAATGGTCATCCAGTTATCGCCATCCTAAGGCCAAAGACTCCCTATTGAACCCTGCTAAATATTATCAACAAAGTATGAATTGGGTTGGGAATAAGGGCGTACTGATATGAACTCTTGAACCTGGCTTTACCCAATGCCAGTTATTAAAAGTCGACAGAAGTGTACACAACTGTAACACATTATCTTATACTGTTACTCTACTTTTATATACTGAATATAAATGATTAACTGTTAACACTTCTGTATATTTATACTTATCTTTATGCATATATATTTACTATATCCCTGTTTACATTGAAATAATTATTTTGCAATTACCGCTTGATATTAAATGTATAGACTATCATTACATTTGTATTGCTTTATCTTCTTTTCATTTATAATACATATTTAATTATTGCTAGTGAAAGCCTGAGACTTAATATTTGTTTTGCTAAAGATTGCTTTTATGTAATTGTTTTGTGTACGATGAACAAATAACTTTAATATTTTACTCAACTCAGATCTATTTTCCATTCAAATGTGTCCCAGTTTCTAGTAAATGATTCCCTATACCATTAAACATCCATTGTGAATAAAGTTGAGTTGAGTGTGTACCTCTGTTTTTAAACTCTCGGGCCAGAAGCAGTCTGGTGGCCAGGGGGAAAGCCACCATGAGCATGGGGACGTAGGCTGAGCACAGGCCCTGCTGGGTGAGCCACACCAGGCTGCAGCACCATAGCAACAGGCTCACGTCAAAGTAGAGATCGCCCAGCTCCACCAACCGCACACCCTGCAGGGAACACACACACACACAACAGCTCAACATACAGCACTTTGATATGTGTGGAATCAGCTGATAAAAACATTGTATTAATTGCCAAAAAGAAAACTCTTGGGACTGAATTATGTTGACGTAGAGGTATGCTAAACATGTTGATCCTTGCTCATCACGTAAACAGCCTCATGTTAATTAAAGAATAACTCGGTGGAGGTTGTTTCATAGGTTACTGATATAATGAGGTCAGATCAGTCCCTGCCTTGTATAAAAGTTCATCACAAATTATATTTATCTTTTTACAAATCACTGCGGAAAAGACAATCACTACCTCTGTTGTGGATGAACACCAAACTGGAACAATCAATAATTTGACTTCCTAGTTTCTACATGGGGAACTTTACACCATGGCCACAGTGTTCTGAACATCCAGATCACGGCGTCACTGAGAGGCCCTCGCCCTGCTCTTCATGGTGTTTTAGGTTGAATGATTTGGTAACCAGCTGTTGTATAGAAAGCCCTCGTATACAACAATAAATATGTACAGCAGTGTTTGGTCTTGCATCACTGCCACACAAATAAATCCCCAGTGGGAGCTTCGCACTGCAGATTCTTGTCTTTATTGATGTGGAGCTACAACCACACAGAGTTCCAATTCAACCATTTGCATGCACTTTTGTAGGCAAAACTAATGTATGATTGAATCAGCTCTTACACTTATGTTTTATTTCAGAGTGCAAAAGAAAATATTTAGCGATGAGCAGAAAGTGGACAGTTTGCTAAATGTAACTGATAAATGGTTGAAAATGATAGTTAAAATTGTAAAATAGCTAAAAGTAAAGCATACAATTGGGAAATAGTCAGGTAAAAGTAGCTTATGAATGGTTGGAACATACAGCTTAGGCCACTGGCATTTCTTGAAAAACAAACCCACTATTACATCCACTTTAACATCATTTATAGGAAATTATATTCAGTTTAAAATCAATATCATCAATATAAATGAGTTCATTTGGAACATAATGATGTTAATGCGGCAATACATTACACTCAGGAAAGAAAGGTTTAGAAACCACAGTACAAAATGATCAGTAGCCAAGCAATTTGTACAAACAAGTAGAGTTCTCCTGCAGGCGTCGTACACTTGGAGTAAAATGAGGCCGAAGATGACTTGTGCTCTTTCAATAGAGATTAGAGGATGAAGCCTTATGTGGTCTGGCACAAAGGTTAGTCTGTGTCCTTCCTGGAAAATGTCCATGAAAAGCTGGAATTCACAATGTGTTCAGCTCCAGATGAAAATAAACCTTCTCTAATGGATTCAATCTCAAATACAATATTTCAGCTGAACAGCTCCTAAAATTACAGAAAGAAGAAGTAGAGAAGTTTACCAAAAAGGCTCAAACATTGTCCTTGGCCAGAATAGGCTTTGTTATAAGCAGGCGGATATCAAAAGCACAGTGAGAGTGCTCCATTGTGTGCCAGAAGTAAATACTTATTTGGTAACATACACGTGACTGCCACATGGCTGCTGGTCTTACACATCACCAGTTCTATTATTTTACACACACACCACCTCTTCTTCTGTCTGCTTAAAAATGAAGGTTTGATTAAGTGCCTTTACATTCTTCTTGCTTTTTCATATGCTGGGGTTCTATTGGCCAAGTACCATTTGTGTGCCAGAAGTAAATACTTATTTGGACACACACACACACACACACACACACACACACACACACACACACACACACACACACACACACACACACACACACACACACACACACACACACACACACACACACAACACACACACACACACACACACACACACACACACACACCACACACACACACACAACACACACACACACACACACACACACACACACACACACACACACACACACACACACCACACACACACACACACACACACACACACACACACACACACACACACACACACACACACACACACACACACACACACACACACACACACACACACACACACACACACACACACACACACACACACACACACACACACACACACACACACACACACACACACACACACACTTCTCTAGTCACCATGGAGGAAAAGGAACTGTCTAGCTTTCTCCTATTTGCACTTTAGTACCCATTAAACATTATCTCAATCAGTCAACATGAGATATAATAGGGCTGCCCTACTTAGTTCATTACGCAAAAGCTCTCAATTTAAAGATAGTTTTGTGTTACAAAGAGTATCAGAAAGATATGAATCTAAGTCCATTCTTCACGCTTTAACAGAGCAAATATTTAACCACTCACTATCGGACTTGACCTATGGCTACACATCATTTCTCCTTTCAACTTTTCATTAGAATTGGATTTTTTTTAAATAAGTGATTTCACATTCTAAAGTTTCCAAAAGTGTGGTTTCTACTCGTGATTTCTTAAAAATTCCCCTTTCCCATTTCACTTCTCTGATTTAAAAGTTCCTCCAAAGTTAAGCAATTATTTACTTTTAATTTCCCATCTTGCCAAGAGTTAGTTAATAAAACATAAAGCCGGAACCAGGTGATTAGCTTAGCATACACACTGAAAACATCAAGAGAGCTAGTACATTTATTTCCAAAAATGTCATATACCTTTGAAAAAGACTTAGATTAAACACTCTACTTACTCCGTAGTACAAGTTCTTGGCCAGGGTGTGGATGAGGACCATCTTGCCCGTGGCAGCAGCCCCATACAGGCAGATGGAGGCGTAGAAGTGGTTGTACCAGAACATGGAGCGGCCCAGCAGAGTGACGAGCAGAGCGAGTATCAGCACCGACAGCAGCGTTACGACCCAACTCAGGACCGCTACACCTGTGGCACAGGCCAGTTCCCGGACATATCGGCCACCTGAGGGAGATGCAGATGAAAGGTAAGTGAAGACCAAGCATCTAACTCTTCTAGAGCAAAGAGAAACAACAATTGTGATTTGATTCCACAAGCCAATTATTTTCCTGATTAATCGATTAAACACTTGGTTGTAAAATGTCCATCCCTGCTTCTCTAAGTAATTCTAATATCTGTATATGTTTTATCCAGCCAGGACCTAAATATATTAATTTTCAAATAATACAGAAACAGAGAAAAATCCACTTTTTCTGATATTTTTTCATGAGAAGATTTCTTAAAAGTTTAATCGATTATCAAAATAAATGGCCAATATTTATTGACTGTTGACTAATCATTGCAGATCTACCTGCAAGTTTGGACTGGGCCATTCTCATCTTACAGTTTGCAAGAAAACACTTGAATAATCCACAAAGGGGAGAACACATGCATCCACTACAGGAAATGGAGACCTACCCCCATTGCCTGGCATTGAGGCTTTCTTAGCCAGATAGAGGAAGGTGGCTGTGGCTACCATGTAGTTCAGGATGGTGCCTACACGGGCGGGGTAAGCCACCACAAATACCCCCAGCAGGTCGTAAAACACCATGTTGCCATGACGATACTCGGAGGAATCGGCCAGCTTCTCTGAATTCACCAGGTACTTCAAGACCGCCAGGATGTTGTCGCCTGTAAACAGGAAGCGAGTTTCAAGGTAAAGCTGACACAATGAAGCCATTGAGCTGCATTGATTTCTGCAGTATAGAGACAACCAGAGGGCTTGATCCCAACTTTAAAAACGGACACATAATGAATAGAAAGAGACAAAATGGGAAATAAATACTGAGCTTAATCTATTTTGGTTTTCGGTTTCCACCGTTTGTTTCCACCCCAACAGTAACAGGAAGAACATTTTTGATATGACTGAACATGAAAGCGATAACTTTCATAATGACACAAAGGGCTCATCCTTCAGAGCTGACACAACACAGGCAGTACATTTTATTGCTGACTCAGAATCACCTTCTGACCAGCAGGGACCGGCTACACTGACGTAATGCTCTGTGTCATCCCTGCACGGCCACCCAGACAGAATCTCTGCAGCACACATTGTTAGGTCTTTACATTTTCAGAAAGTAGTGAAAAATGTGATGTATTTTAATGATGTGCTTTGTTAGCCCAACCCCTAAACTATTTCGTTTAATATCATATAAAACAGAGGAAAAAAAGGCAGGAAATCTCCATATTTCAGAGACTTAAAAAGGCATTTTCTGTCACTTTTGCATGAAGGATAAATTAAAACAATCGATTGAAAAACAATCGATTTTTCTGCCATCTACTTTCCATTGCAGAACTATCCCACACATACTTACACATCCTTAGATGCAAATTCATAAATGTATACTACCTTTAATGCTCTCCCACATATAACCTCTTAGCCTTGAATACACTACTCAAGTGTTTTCATGGTGTTTATGAGTGTTTGATGCGTGTACGCAAATAATCATGCCCCAAGCAGTAGTGTGTCAAAGTGTATGATGGTGTATGTGTGAGTAAGTTCAAGTCAGATATATGACCTAAATGGCTTCTCCTAGTTACTCAACAGTTGTATACCAGCATGTGGGACATGCTAATGGATTGGCTAAACAAATACGTATAATGTAGTTAACAATCTGGCAACGTAAATGATCAGTAAAGAGGTCGCTGTGTGGGTTACTGCCACCCGAGGCCAAGTCTCTTTTATCTGTGCTGCACTATGTACTGCTGCCTGCACAAACACACACACTCACACACACCCTAACAACGCTCCATTGTTCTTCCGCCTGGTAGGCTCACTGTGGCCTAAAAGAGTAAACAAGTGAGTGTACAACATCTACTTGTTCTTGTTGGGTTTTCTGCTTAGCTACACCGTTCTTCATAGTGACAGACCAACAACTCTTCTTTCCAAATATAACTATGACAACACAAAAACAAAGATAAGATTAATTTAAGAATGATATTTACTAACTTTACTCTAACTTTATGACTACAGACTACAAATTCCCTCTACCTATATCTACGATGTCACTTCCTCTGTGTAATAATTCAAGCTTTTCATGGAGAGTTACTGTTCGCAGAATAAGAGGAGGGAGATGTATAGTTCCTGCTGATGGAGAGAGGAAACATGCCAACAGTCTCAGGTTTAAGTGCTGACTGGGACTGGATGTGTCTGCTAAGTAAAGCAAAAAAGTATTCAGCAACACAGATGCACAAATGAGGGCAAGTGCAACAGTAAAGGTGTGTGGCTGCAATGTACAGTGTTTACACTCGTGTGCATTTCTTAGTTCTCAGGGACATAATGAGATCAGCAGAGTGCTGACCCGTCTGAAACAGAGAGACGGAGCACGAGAGGACAGCATGTGTCGGTGACAGAAAAACAGCGTAGGCAGTTGTTTTTACAACTCAGGTCGACTGCTGCAGTGACCACTCTCTCCTTCACAGAAAGAAACAACCAGCAGCTCCCAAGTGCTGAATCTATTTGCAATGCGTGGTAAATAAAAGCACAAGATGAAACCTATGTGAGTTTAGTTCATGTAGGTATACTAGGGGAGGAGTTGAAAATATCATGTCACGCTTATCCTGGTCAAATGAACTGCAACACATAGTAGTATACTGATAATCATCAACATATGCTTAAGTAAATGGCACTGAACCATACTGGAATAACTTAATTGTATAAATAAAAGATAAACAAATAGCAACATTCTGTAAATGTGTTCCTTCTTACATGATAATTCCTGTATTTTTCTAATCTGACTCTATTTTGCACTTTTCTATCAATACAATGAGCTAGACAGCTTTTTAAAGGATATTTACAATTATCCAATGACTGGAAATTCATAAAATGTAGTCCTATATAGTCCCCGCAGACTGCATGTGTGTGTGCTGCATACCGGCTCTCTGAATGGAGTCGGTCAGGATCCTGTCAGCGGTGTCGTACTTGGTGTGATAGATGAAGCCGTTTTCAATGAAAGCCAGATCAATGCCTATAAAGATAATAAATAAAAAGGAGGGAGAAAAAGAAATAGAATAAAAGCGCATTTAATGAATCGGCCACTGGACAATTTTGACACATAAATGCTCCATACTTCAAATATAGATTTCTATTTTTGTACTTTAAAGACTGTTCTGCATTACCTGGGATGTTTCCAAAGTCCCTGTAGATGCGGAAGTCAGTGTCAGAGGGGATGATGCCGCTCTGAAAGACCTCCTGGCCCACCACAGAGGCAAAGGGGTGTTTGGCTGCTTGAACGTAGGCCTGGACCAGCCAAGGGTTCTCTGGACCTTTAGGGAACAGGAAAAAAATTATAGATATTTAATATATCGGACAACTATCTCATCAAAGAATAATTACCCTGTATGAAAAGGTCTATAACCCTATTTCTTTCTGTCTTTGATTGCAGCTGTTTTGGTGTTTTAGGTTTAAGCTTGTTTGACTTTCAGACAGTTCACTTGTTTAACAGAAAAAAGGCATTGCAATTATTTGAATGCTTTTCCAGTTACATGAGAAAGATATGCGTACAAACAAACATATGCAAAACTAAAATGCAGAGGATATCAGAGGGAAAACATGCTCATAAACAAACAGAACTTTTGTTTGATACAGTACCTGTCTGGAAAACAACCTCTTTGCCCCCAACACCTGCAGCCTCCAAGTTAATAAAGGCTCGCACCTGCTTTGCCCACGGATGCTGAGTAATGAAACCATGACTGGCCTGATGGAGAAGAGGAATACAAAAAGGGGACAAATAGTTAGCGAGGAGGGAAGTTAGAATGAAACACAACATAAACTAGAAAATACATTTCCTGCTGAAAATGCGTGTGAATGCTGTAAACTGTGTACATTTGTTGCTGAATTCAGCTGAAAATGCAGAAAAAGCTGAATATTGTATTAGTTGAATGGTCTCTGTAGCTGCTTTTAGCTACAAAAACCAAGTAAGTGTGTTGCTGAACTTAGCGGAGAAATGCAGAAAAGTGAAATGATTTGAATCAAAATTGTTACAGCTCAAAAGCATTGCAATGACTTTGTTGAAAACTTGAAAGTGAAATGTTAAACTGGAAGAGTAGGAAAAATAGTGAAGAAGCTTAATATTTAAAAGAAAAGGTTTAAAAAAGGTATAAACAACTAAATGTATAGCCCCAATGTCCGGAAATAGCTGAATAATGTAATAGTTGAATGGTTTCTGTAGCTGAAAGTAGGCTGAAGGAGTTAGATATTAAATGTAAGTAGTAGTGAATGAATGTGTATTAAGAAGAGAAAAGAAAGTAAAAACGCTTGGGAAAGCAGCAGAATATTTTAACTGCAAACTTTTGAACTAAAACCATATGTCACCAATAATGTATAAAATATGTGGAACATGTTGAAGTCAGTATGAAGTCTCCATCAGACAGAAAAGATTAGGCTGAGAAAGTCTGTTTGTCATTGTTTGTTTCTGTGCTGAGCACCTAATCATAACACCTAATCATAACACCTGTGTGTGAGCCCAGAGATCAAAGGTGTCCATGGTGACGACTTTATCAAACACCTGTGTGCAGAGATCAAAGGTTTCCATGGTGATGTGCAGTGATCTGTGAGAGGAGAGCCTTTCCATTGATCTGAATGAGAGATAAACCTCTTACATTTGGATGTTTTGTTGAAGAACCGTAGCAGCTTTCGGTAAAATGTCAACGCGTGAAGCATGTCAGGACCGTGAGGAGCGTCAGAGTCTGCTTTTTGTGCACTTTTGGGTCAATAATGTGTCATTTTTGGCAGATTTACTAAAGGTGTGCAGCTGCTGCTGTGAGGAAAGATCAGGCTGAATTTACAATGGGCCTTAATGGAGACATGTTGAAAGTCATTGTCACTTCATGCCCTCAAGAGGCATTTTGCTTAATATTTTTTAATTTTTAAACGTAGGAGAGGTTTTCCTACGTTTTTCAAGAAAAATGATGTCCAAGGAGTATAGGGTTCGGGAATTATGGTAGGTTTAAAACATTTTTTTGGGCGAATTTCAAGCTGTCCTCCACTCTGTTTTGAGATCAAAACATTCTAGACTTAACGAGCTGCGCAATACACACTCATGTTAAAATCTGAAGAAGGCCTCTTTACCAAGCTCCAAACTAAGTTAAATATCTCAAAAAGGGTAAAAGATATCAAAAATCTGAATACGATTTTAATAGCTGAATGTCTTGTGATCATTTTAAAGTTGGAATGAAGTCTCTAGCTGAAAGTATGTGGAAGGAGTAGCATTTGGCGCAAGGTGTACTGTAGGTAAAAGAGGATTTGAAGGTTCCTCCCATTGAGTTACATGTTAAAAAAAGAGTTTAAAAAGCTGAATATTTCCAAAAGTATAAAATATTTTGAAAAAGTTGAAGGTTTCCCATCATGTGCTGAAAAGGCTGAACATTTTGATATTTGAATGGTTTCTGTAGCTGAAAGTAGGCTGAAGTTATTCGACGGCAAAATATTGGTTAAAGAAGAAACAGAAGAACTATAGTGGAATGCAGCATTCACACTAAATAGGACACTTGTCACTTCAATTTACCTGCAGGATATTTTCCTCCGCCCCATTAAAGAGGAAGATAACTCCATGAAGAAGAGGAGTAGACTGGTTGGCCAGAGAATGGAGGACCTCCAGCATCACTGCACAGCTCACTGCATCATCACTGGCACCTAAGACATGAAACCAGTGAGTGTTTGTCAAAAATAAAAAAAATAAACCCTGCTTTTTCTTGTCTTTCACATTTGCATCAAGCAACAGAAGCTTGGCACCTGTTTACAAAGATCACCCAACTTTCCAAAACTCCGTGGCTCAGTCTGAGATTAAAACACATGGAGGAGATAGAGCTGATGTGTATTAAAATATCACAAACACATGAGAATGAAGGCTGAGTGCAAACATGTGAAGAATGTGACTAGCTGGTATAACCCCGGTGGATAATGGTGAGAGCACAACGGAGAAGGGGGGTAACAGTGAGAAGAAAGGAAAAGAGCATGTGAACAGGGCATGTGATGCGAAAAGATTACACAGGTTGGTGGTGACGAGGAACACAATTGACTGAGGATAAAAAGGGAGCAAGAATGCCCAAAGGTCAGAGAGCCACACTCAGACATCATGTGCTCCAGCTTTCTGGATTGACTGTGTTCACGAGGTTCAGACCAGAGCCTGTTCACTGTCTGTCTGCGTACCATTCATGCTCCTGTCGCTGCCACTTATGTCAGCATCATATTCAACCTTGTCCCCCAAAACAATCTCTGTGAGAGTGTAGAAAATGGCGATCACATAAAGCCTGAATAGTTCCCCTGTGCCTGTTCAACAAGTAAAACAAAAGTGGGGGGGGAAAGTGGAAGACAATGCACTACCTCTTCTTTTATTTTTTTCCCCCTTTTTTATTTTTAGCAAGAACAATTGTGGAATAGCCTCCCAACTGAGATACGGGATTGTCCCACTCTCAATAGCTTCAAAGGTCAACTCAAAGAATGGTTGAGAAACAAACAGACGTGCAATCGCCGCTAAATGCACTTTAACACAGGGGTATCACCTTTTGCACTTTATGTAGCTCTTGTATCTTCTCTTGCACTTTACATGTCGTTGCTGTTATATTGTATTACCATGTGGTAAACACTTGTGTATGCTGCTCTTGCTCTCTTGCACTTTTTGCATATCATGTATTTTGTTTTTACAATGTTTGTAAAATGTAAATTTCTTAAATGTTTTATGTGATGGAAATGAGCTGAAAGCTAAATCTGGCACTGTTACGCTTGACACATTTTAATGTTTTAAATGTTCATTACCGTGCATTGTCCCTGCCAAATAAACGATTAAATAAAAGTATTTACAGTTCCCAGATATCAAAGGCCTGACAGGCAGCATTTGGACAATATAATCTATGTGTACCTTCCTGGTCCACACCTCTTGGATCTACTTCCTTTTGCTCCCGTAGCTGTGTGTGCTCATGTGTGTGTATTTAAGGGGAAAATATGTCTCTCCAACAGGCACAAGGGCGTGGTGTGCAACTCTGAAAGTTCCCGAATTTAGACTAATAAATCATGCCAGCATACCGCAATGTGCAATCTATCATCAACAAACAAGGTTATTACTGTGCAGCGTAGATATGATACAGGCCATTTGCATGCCCTGATATCCAAATGATGTGGATTGGTTGAATTTCACACTGTGTGGTCCACATGACTACTTTGCAAACCATAGGGCACAAATGAGGGCATTTTTATCATAAAACACATTGAGACCTGGAGACTTATGGCTTATGCACGCTGTAAGAAAAACGCTGCACGTCCTCAGCCATGCTAGCAGCTCTGTAAGGCTGTATTGTAGCACTTAAAGCTATATTATCATACTAGCATGCTAACCATAACATTGCTAGCATGTTGATATTAGGAAATAAATTATGTTTAACATATCTCCTGTTTTTTTAAACTCAAGTTCTGCTAATAATCTAAACATATTAAGTAGAGTGAAGTTTCAGGGGTTGCTTTTCACAGTTTATCCTCTGGGCACCATGAATGCCTGACCCAAACATCTTGACAAACCACCAAGTAGTTATCAAAATATTTCACTGTGAGAACCTTGTGATTGGACTACAAAAGAAAAAGCACAGGGGATTCCCAAAATCAGTGTGCTTCAACATTGCCGACCCCTAGAGCCGCTAGCTTGGCTTTAAATAAATATTTTAATAAATGCAAAGGAATAGACTATAAAAGGCTCTTCAGAACAGTATCAGGACATGACAAAGCAATATAACCTAAAATCAGACACCACAGGTTCACATTTTAGATATGCAAGATGGCCCTTAAGGAACAGAAAGTTGTAGAAGTTGAAATCAATTAAAAAAGATAGTTATGATCAAATATAAAAGGTGTTGTTATTCAAATGTATATTCACTTGTATTTGCTGAGAGATTGATATTAAGTCCTTTCCTTTCTGGGAATTCAGGTTTGAAAACAGGTGGGAATGGATTCTGCATGCCCTTACATGCAAACTGAGGGCTAACACTATTCACCTAAGGCTAAAACCCTTGAATTGAGCTCAGTTCTCAGTAGGCAGGATCCTAAAGTATAGGAGGAACGTTTTTGTACCTGGACTGTTGGCCACTGTGTCGAAGTGGCAGTTGGCGAGCATGAAATGCTGCGACCCGGATTTAGGCTCCAGCCGGACAGCAATGTTGGTGACACGGTCATAGAAGCTGGTGAAGCCTCCAAGAAAGTCAATGGAGAAAGTGCCGGTGGGACGCTGCACATCCACCGTGACTTTATGGGGGCCCGCTGCGGTCTCAACCCGGATGTTCTCGATCTGCTCCAACAGGTAGCCCACTGTCAGGACTTCGTTCTCATGGCTGCCCACTGGCCGAGGGCCCACGCTGGTGATCTTCTCCAAGTGCTGTCTGGATTTGGAGGAGAGAGAAAGAGGATATTGTGATGCTTTTTAAGGAGGAGGACCAAGCCTATTTGTTCCATCACCACATAACAGCATTTCTAATTAATATCCTGCATTTCAATGTTACTGTTAAAGTGAATCATCGCATCTTTGTACAAGAGCAGAGTCCATAGCTCTCTTTTTAAAAACCACCTTGAGGTTACAAATCTTAAACTAAATATGTTTCCGGAAGATATTGATGTGCTTGCTGACTTGCATGCACACACAGTTTGTGGCATTTACAGTACAGTGTGTTTTCCAGAGGATACACCCTTTCTAAATATTACAGATGCACCGTACAGGAGAGTGCTACTGCTTTCTTGACAATTAAATGACTAGCTGAAGTGAAACCAGATATCTTTACCAACTCTGGTGTGGTCTTGAATAGGAGCTTAGGGGGACGAATTATGCACGTTTCATTTTCATTTATGTCAGACAATTAAAAGGCAATGATGCCTATAATTATGTGTGTTAGTCCTTGGTCAGAAAAGAGTAATATTACATCAACTTGTTCCATGAACACAGTGTTTTCATGGAATATACAAGTTAAAACATTAGATGACATCCCTTATTCACATAGCGACCTGGAAGATCCAACAGAAGAGACACCATAACAAAATAATGTTTTGACATCAAACAGGGTGTAACCTGCCTCTGTTATAATAGCAGAGTCCTGAGTTTGGACCCAGCCAGGCACAGTATTCCATGTTTTTGTAACACTGTGACCCGATCTACCTCATCCCCACACAGACTATTAGATGGAAGCAGGATATGAAGCTACGGAACCTAAAAGGCAATAAAAACTGATGTTTTCTTTAAGAAGCAGCTGCTGGTGGGGTTTGCTGCAGCTCTTCTACAAATGCCATGCCATGTATTTGATCCCAAGCATAGATCAAACACAGCATGTTGGCTTTTGGTTTGCTTTTTCTTCCAAAGTCCACCCTTAAATGTATTCCTCTTGTAGTGACAAAATGGTACTAAATGATAATGATGATATCTGAAGTGCTGTTTCATTTCATTCTTACAGCAGCGTTTAAGGCATTGTTTTATGCTTAGGCTCATAATTTAAATCTGGATTGGAAGAGGATGGACTCATGACAGCCATGATTGTGACCAAAGAAGCTCAGAACCCTAATCAGTTCAATGCAGCATGCTCCACTCGTTTATAGAGCAACCAGCCAAATGATGGCAAATCCCGTCGCCCAAGCACTTTCAAGAGCTCAACTGCAGCCCTGCGGACCTCAGATTCAGTATAATCCCCGCCTCTCTTCTCACAGGGACGGAAAATCTGATCAAAGCTGCTGTACTGTAAATCTGAAGAGCTCTTTAATCTGAAAATGTTGCAGCTACTTGGAATTAACCAGAGTCATAAAGCTTTCTATAGTTGTGCAGTAAAATGTCTATATTGAATTAATCTTTATAATATTTCTTTGTTCAGATTTCTGTGCCATAAAATGTCCGAAATGTCAACTTATCACAGGTTAAAAGTGCCCCTTTTTCTCACCATGCCTAAAGCTTAATTTAATTGACTACACAATATTTCATTTTCAAAGGACCCACAACCCATATTCATGATACAATAACATCCAAGAGAAATTGCTCACAAATATTTGAAATTGAATTATTGATATTAACAACAACATTTTTAAATTCAGTTTTTATAATGCATTTCCTGTTTGATGTGAGAAGTGAAGTGAGACATTTTGCACTTTTTGGGGGCATTTTTCGTTTGAATGAAAAATGTCACTGATTTGAAATATTTTGGTTTTTGAAGGATTCATCTAATAAAGAAGTATTTAGAGTATTTTTTTTTAATTGAAAGACATAGGTAATGTTTAAACTGCTTATGGTAAAGAAGGTGTTTTACGTCAAATGCGTTACCTTACCTGCAAAATCTACTATCTGAGCTTGATATTCCATGTTTGGAATTTGAGTCAGTGTGTAAAATAACCAAGTATATTTACTGAAGTACTGTACTTAAGTACAATTTAGAGAGAGACTAGATTGTGTGCTACTTTGTACTTCTACCCCACTTTAATTCAGAGGTAAATAGTGTCCTTTTACTGCACTACATTTATGTAATATCTTTAGTTACTTTGCAGAAGACTTTAGTTACACCTCGAGTTACATTCTACAATGCAGCATACAAAGTAATTACAACTAGCTACACCTTTAACAGCTTTGATAAACACATAAACACATAAATGCATCAGTAATTCTAATACAATTATAAAATAAATATTATTCTGAAATGGGCCAATGTGCATAATGAGTACTTTTGGTATTTGAAGTTTATTTGTATGCCAATACACTTGTACTTTTTTACTTGAGTAACATTTTGAATGCAGGATTAATTGTAACAGTTAACCTCAAAATGTTACTCTGGTACTTTTCCTTAAGTACAAGTTCTGAGTGCTTCTTCCACCTCTGCTTTGAGGTAATGGAATCATTAATCATGGAATCATATTATTATTATTATTATTATATCTCAGGCCCAGGGTCATTTAACACACTTTGTGCAGGATATTTTGACTCTTATTGTCTAGGCTACATTCCTAGAGGCTGTTGCAGCTCTTATCTCCCGGGCCAACAGTAGCCGTTAGAAACCGTTGAAACACCTGTCTTCCCTGCAGGTTACCTTGGAAGTAAAAGGTGGAGGTGGAGGGGACACCCGGTAGTGGTTTCTAGGCGGGTCTAGTAGAAAGATTAGCTGGGACTCTGCTGCTTAGAGACCGTTAGCCAACATGTGAAGACAAAGGGGTATTTACACTAAGCAAGGTACGGTACTCACCTTGCTCTCACTGCGTTGAAGTCTCCGCTCGGCTTGCCAATGACGAGCTGCTGTAACGACAAATGAACGAGTCCCCACAGCACCAAAATAAACACAGAGACCAGGGAAGCTGCCAGTCCTTCCCGCAGCAAATATAGGCTCACTTCGGGCTTCCTCTTCGGGTCACCGTTGTAGCCGTTATCCACGCCCCGGTCCCGAGAGCCGTCGTTATCTTGCGCTACATAATTCTGTGTCCCGAAGGGTTTTATTCTCCTGAAAGTGGTGTCGCTCTCCATTTTTGAGCCAGCGGTACATCAGCTGCAAGCGTCGCTCTCAGGCGTCGCTTTTTTTCTTTCTGGACGAACGACGGAACGCGCTGAGGGACAAACCTCCTGAGAGGGCGGGCGGTCGAAGGCGCTTAGAAAATGAAAAGGCAGAGGAGGAGAACATATTTAACATACTAACATGTATCTCTCCCACTTGAGTATAAAACGGGATAACTGGTTTTATACTTTAAAACATTAATCAAAAACCTATATTATTAGCTCTCAATTATTGTGTAGACATTTAATTCATTCATCGTTTATATTAAATCATATATATTCTCCTTAGTTAGAGTTAGTTAAAGATATCAATATAATATCACTCTCTCAGCGTACAATAGTTATGATCTTATAATAATCTTCCCAAAAAGCAAATGTGTATTCCCAAAATGTCAAACTGCTCCTTTAACATGAACTCAATGAACCCTGAACCCCCCCTTGTAAAAGTTCCCTAATGCAATCCAACCAGAAAGGCCTGACACACACTATCAGATACACACACACACACACACACACACACACACACACACACACACACACACACACACACACACACACACACACACACACACACACACACCAGGTTTATTGCCAAGAGTTTTTAATTACAAGGAATTCGCCTCGGAGTTTGGTGCATACAATATTACAATTAAATATAGTAAAATAGTTTTTACAATGAGAACTGTGCAGTTTTGTGCAACCATATCCAAAATGATGCCATTGGAATGGGAATCTTTTTTTTAAAGACGAAAATCCAGGCTATGGGGACATTAAAACACATTTTACAATTAGACTTTATAAAAAATATTTGCCTAACTTTTATAAGCCAATTTATTTAACTCTTAGAAAAAATAGAACACAACATTATTTGTTTATTTATGTATTTGGCATCTAGTAATATTGCTGCTGGCTGAACTGAGGTTATGATGTGATTTGATTGATGTGACACTGGGAGTATGCAGATTTGGTGCTACTTTGTCGCCATCGTGTGGACGAGATGAGAAAAGCAGACGAAGTGTTCTTGCTGTAGAATTCTACACTGCAGTTCATTTAGTCATTGCACAGTGCACACTGACTTCTTTCCTGTAATGCTACCACTTTTTTGTGTGTGTTTATACTTCCAAGCAAAAAATATGTATCTAATCAATTAATATAATCTAATGATATATTTCATTATCTTCAGTTATTTATAGGAACTTTACCTGGAAGTGTTATATTGTTGTTTTATTGATATTGATGCAATAACACGTAGCCTAGTGCTTTAATATTGTAGTTCATGTGGAAGTTGGATTGCTATTTAAAGTGATGTGTAGTTAAAAGGTATATAAAATGCCAAAATGAAAATAGTACAACTAATCAGAAGTTTTCCATGTGAAATCTTCTAAATTAATATGCAAAGTAATAAGTAGCCTATCTATATGCAACAAATGTGGTGTAGTAATGAGTACAACATTTGTATAGCCTAAAATGGAAACAATCACAATAATAAATACAAATACTTCACAAAATCGATTTAATATAGTACTGTTAACACTCAGATACACAGGCCACATTAATTAAGACATTGTTTGTTAGGGATAAATGTCAGAATAAAGTAAAGGTCAATAAACATATTAAAATCATAGGCCTTTAGTGTCTTTGTTTTTCTATGTCCTCGGTACTTTTCCATTAGACGCCCTCATGTAAATACTATAGCCGCTAGCCTGTCGGCAGCTAACACAGGTAGCAGAAATGCTATTTGTTTTCAATATTCAGGAAGGACGCGTAGTTAGTTTTGACATTAAAATGAACTGTACTTTATACAAAATATATTCTTTAGTGGTGGTACTCTAGATATTATCCGGCGTTTTATATGTTATTTTATCAACGTGAAGTAACAGTCATTTTAACTAGGATGTTCAACGCTTAGCATTTATGCTTAGCATTAGCTTGTTAGCAGGAGTGTGAAGCTAGCTCAGTTGAGGCTTAGCTGTCAACATGGCTTCCTCTTTCAAAACAAGGTTCTGGAATAAGATCTTAAAGATAATGTCTTTCATTCCAACCATATAGTCTATGATTCCAACCCTAGCCTATTTCTTGCCAGGGGACACTTTAGTGTAAACTAATTTGTGGTCAACAAAACAGAATGGTGTCATTCATTATGATGAATTGGAAATGTATGATGAATTGGAAATGGGGGACCCTGATGTAAACAAGACGAAAGTCTTTCTCTGGTCTGCATCCCCTTAACAATTGTATGTTTTGAGCTGTACTGTACTGTACCCAATATACAAGCTGTTAATAAACTTTTCAATCAATCAATCAATCAATCAATCAATCAATCTGCTCTCCTAAAATGCATCAAATAAATGCAGGGAGCTATAACACCCCCTTGTTATATGTTAACAACGATTATCTTTAATGTATATTGTGCAAATATATTCCAAATGTTGTGAATAATGTTCTAAATTCATAATTTATATCGTTCCGTCGGGAAATAAAATTATCTAAACAATTAAACAGAAATGATCCTAATGTGAAATATGAAAATGCTAAAATAAATGACTATCTTTTGTGGACAGGGACCTCAAATGTTAACTACATTCCAGAGAAATTACAATACAAATGGTAAATTATTTATAAAACACATTATATTGAAAGCATGAAAGCTGTCAGCCATTATATTTGTCAAACAAACAGATTTCTTGTCTTATTATGCTTCAATTATATTGAGTATTTGCTGGTCTTAATGTAGCGAGAGGCACGCACAGATGATGCAATTTGTAAGTCAATATTGTTTGTTAAATCTGCAATACAAATGTTGCTAAAGATGTGATTGCTTTAACTGTGCATGAGCAAATAAAAACATTTTCGATTACTTGTATTTTGAAGGGGAAGAAAACAACCTGACGGAAACGTATGACTTTTATTTCGGGTGACTTGACTGCTGTTATCTCTACCAGCTTTCGACTCTGACCGATCATTAGCTAGCCAAACATTGCAGAGAGCAGTCAGCCCGTCGTGTCTCTACCCGAGGCCGGATGGTAAAATCCAACCTCCAGCGGATCCTAAACAGTCATTGCTTTGCTCGCGAGAAAGAAGGAAAACAACAGTCTTTAACTACCATGGCGGATTTAAGTAACGGTATCTGTGACATGATTGGGAAGTAAGTAAACGATTAAAACCACCAAACCTAGCTAACGGCTAACCGTGATGTGTGGGGGAGGGGTGGCTAAGCTAAGCTAGGAGCCACGGAAAAGCGGAAGTAAAACGCGTTTAACTTTAAATGTAATGTTTACACTGTGTATCACCAATGTCACATCGTTACATCAGGTGACAGCTGCAGTTATAATGTTGTTTTAAATTGTCATGTTGAAATAAGCGACGGATATTAATTTGCTATATTAACAACCTTAGCTAACGTTAGCCAATGAACCTCGTTGAAATGGTAACGTTACATCACTGGAGTTAGGTTCGTCACCTAGCTCAATTATGATGCATCACTTCAACAGTTTCCGATTATTATTTTGATACGGAGAAGGTAAACAAGTTTAATTTGCCGTTTATACAAGGAACTTATACCCACAAGGGAATTATACATACGTTTTTCAATTACTTTCACGTTAGCCAATTTAAAGACCAAACAGACTTCCATGTATATTAAATACACTGACAGTTTACGGTCATCAAGTGGGGACGAGGGTGACTTAAACAAGTGATATTATTTATTTGTTGCCGAAAAGTGCCGGTTAAAACGGTTAAAACGGTTAAAACCATAGACTGTATTTAAGAAATTCCATCTTTGGTTAAAACGGTTAAAACGGTTAAAACCATAGACTGTATTTAAGAAATTCCATCTTTGGTTAAAACGGTGTAGGGTTTCACCACATATGTATACTCCTTAACTAACCATATTATCATTGGTGATCAATAACAGGAAAGACAGAAGAGAGAGAGGGTAAAATAACACCAGGTTAAGAATGTGCCCGTAAAGTCGTCAGGTCAGTACATATTTCTGGCCACGTTTATCTCGTGAGCTGACAAGAGCCAGGTTGCTTATTACGCAACTGACAGTTTACTGCTGCAGCTTCGTGACGGCACGACAGAGACTTAAACACGACAACATGGTGAATAATTAACATACACCAAGAGGTAATAGTTGTTAAATTAAATGTTTTACTCTTCTCTCCCATTCCTAATCTGCCTTTGCACAACAAACTGAGAGTATATCATTAGCCATCCACTGTGGGTAGACTTGTTGAATTATTTACATAAGGCCTTAGAAAGCAATTATTCGACTGGTTAACGATTTAGGTCTATGGTGTATTGACCAAGAGTTATCTAAAATATTGATTTGCAACTCCGCTAATACAATAAGCCACACTTTCAGACTAAAGGCAAGAGAGATGACCTGACTCCTAAGGGACAGCTGTTAAAATACTCTATTACATTTGAGAAATTATGAGTCGGTATATTGATTTCTCAATCGACAGATAATGTATTTGCAACACAAATCATAATACAACATATACTTATATTTCCCATTTATCCTAATAAACAAAATTGTCCACGGTGGTTCAAATGTATCGATTGGGTGTATTTGTTTGTCATATATGATGGTAAATTGATGGCCAATTTCACTATTTTTAGACATTAGAAAAATGCATTTTCAATATAAATAACTAACACATCAATCAATAATGGTAATGGTCAGTTGCAACCCTAATATAAACTAGCTCATGAGATAAGCTTATATTTGTATGATAATGTGCATTTGCATGGCTTTGTCAGTAGTTTATACGCTGTGTACAAGGTCACAAGATAAGGTTTGTTTACCCAACAGGTTGTGCTGTTGGCAGCACATATTTTCACTTGGTTGCCTCCCACGCATCCTGCTGTGTTAGTGTACCCTTTAAAATCGTTCTGTTAACAACTCAGTAAACACAGTGCCATTGTTTTGGGGAACATAAACTGTAAGCCTTTTGAAAGAACACTTAGGCCTGCTTATATTACAGATGTTGTGGATTGAGCACTTATGTATGAATGTGCACTATATTTGTGAAATTATATTGCTAATTCTTCCTGGAACACAAGGACAATTTTGGTCAACGTCTGAATTTGTTTGTGTTGAGTCACTGCCATGACATGTCTTTGAGGTTGTAGTTTATAAATCCCAATTATGTGCACATACTAACACATGTTGAATTACAGAAAAAACTTTATTACAAGTCCTTAACCGTGTTTGATTATCTCCTCCTCTGTCCTCCCCTGCAGTTTGTCCCTGCACTGTAGTAGTAGTACCCGCGGCCCGGGGCCTCAGTGGTGCTCCTGATGCCCCTCTCCCACCCCTGAAGATCCCAGGTGGGCGAGGGAATGGCACACGGGATCACACTCGGCCACTCCACTCTGTAAGTCTACACAGCATACAAACACGCATGCAGTCACACATCACTGAATTTCCTTTCCCGTAAAAGTGCAATGTATTAGCTTTAGTTGCTCTGCTTGATCACCATTACAGACAGCATAAAAAGGCAATTTTCATGCTAGTTATATTATAATTGGACATGAAATATAACACACGTCACCCACTGCTGTTATGACATGTGGTAACTAGTGTTTGTGTTTCTAGGATCGAAAGCTGACTGTAACGGAGGAACCAGCAGGGAATGGTCGCCCTGGGATCCTCCACTTCCAAAGTCGTCCCACTGTTACCAAGACGATACAGTGGGATGCTGTCTTGAGCAGCAGCGCACTTTACGTGGAGATACCTCTTGACCCTCTTCCTGAAGGCAGCAAGGAGAGGTGAGGCTACACAGTTAGCAGCAGGAGAAACCTCGAGTGGAATACACCGATTTGTATAATGGCACACTTTAGTCATATTAGGAGTAAAACAAGAATACATTTCATATAAGTGTGTTTAACGGAAAGTGATTTGATCCTGGTAGCATGAACATAATCAAGCCTTTATCGATGTTTAGCCTGATTTTACAGATTTTTGTGCTTTATGTTCTGAGGTTGTTTCCCATTTCTAACCCAAAGCCTCTTTCTGTTCTCCTTCCAGTTTTGCAGCTCTACTGGAGTATGCTGAAGAACATCTGAAAGTCGTTAGCGTGTTTGTCTGCTTTTACAAGAAAAGAGATGATCGTGGTAAGTGCTAACAACCCTGTTTTCCCCAGCCTACCTTCTTTCCTTCAGAATACCTTTAATAACATCATTATTTTTGGCTTCTGTGATGTGACTTTTACTGCAACCTAAAACCTGTTGTACCTGCCTTGTTCTTGCAGCTAAACTGGTGCGTACATTCAGTTTCCTGGGCTTTGAGATTGTGAAACCGGGCCATGCCCTTGTCCCACCTCGACCCGACGTATTCTTCATGGCCTACAACTTTGACCGGGACTCTTCGGATGAGGAGTAGCCTACTGGACAGCCCCCCCCCCCCCCCCCCCCCTACTTCCCTTTTCCCTCCCCTACTTCCCTTTTCCCTCCCATTGTATGTTTGTCCATCCCGTCCCAGCTTACTCATATAAAGCACCGTCTGTGTTAAACCCTCTGCAGTAGCTCTGTATGCAAGTATCCATTTCCCCCATGCTTGTTGTGTTCAAGGGAATATGTAAGATGTGCATCTCCTGTTTCCACCATCTATCTCTGTGTTTTATTATACTCTTTTCACATTGAAGATTAATTGGTGTTGTCACCTTAAAAGGAGGGAACCTTTGTTTTTTTCAATCATATTGCAGTTGTCATAGCTATAAGTTCTGGTATATTTTCCATTTATTGTCAAGTCTTTGTTTTTATTGATATTTCCTTTTTATGATAGATTAAGGTGGAGGATTCTTCAGTTCTTGAATGTACAATAAAAAGGTCATCAGGTTTACACTCGGGTACTCCAGCTTTTTTTTGATTGGCTAAACAATGGCTTTGGATTTGTCTCATTTTCTTTCTCTCTGAATGAAGTAACACTCATTTCAGTGGGACCAGTTTTATTATGTAGCACTAACATTCTCTTGAAAGTATTTGGATTTTTTCAAACCTTACTTTTGAATGACAGCCCCAATAATTGGTACTTCATAGCTGGATAGTGAATGCATTTAGATTAGAGGCAGAGTGAAAAGAGGAATGCTGTTGCATGTGTCTGATGTAGGCGCTTCAGTTTCACGGTAAAGATCCTACGTCGAGTGTATTGGTACAACATGAAAGGAATAATCCAAAGTGCTTTCGCTTCTTTCGGCCATGTTTATCTTTATGATTTAGTATTTTGTTTTGGAGGCTGAAAAAATGCTGTGATATGAGTAGTTATTTTTTGTCTTAGCATTCCTTTTTACAACTTTGTTTCTCAAGATAGTATTGAGTTTGTTGTTCAGCATAGTGGTACCTGTTGTGCTTCTGTGAAAATAAAACAAACAAAACAAACAATCCATTGTGTACTTTTCTGCATCTGTTCACCAACACATAAATGCACTCCAATATGTATTACCTTTGGGTTAGAAGAAATACTAAACAACTTCAAATCAGGCAAAAAGGTTTTCTGACCATAACTCAATTTAAATCCAGGGTTCTTACGGTCATTAAAAACCTGGAAAAGTCATGGAAATTCAAAATGCAAATTCCAGGCCCTGGAAAACAATATTTTTCCCAAAGTTTTGGAAAAGTCATGGAAATGTAATTCATATTTTAGCTAATCGCCGAAATAGTAATACTATAATAATAAATACTGTATCGTATAGTAATGAAACATAAAATGGCATTTAACTGACTAGGTATTTTGCTGGTGAGAGATTTTAGTTGCTATAGCGTGTAGAAGCTAGTAAGCCTATTTGATTTGTTTTAGATAGGAACAACATGTTTCATATGCAGACCTTATTTTCATGTTCCATGTTAAAATAAACAATGTTCAGTGGTACCGCTGAGAAAGAGTAATTTTTTTGGTCATGGAGAAGTCATTGAAAATCATTGGTGAAAAAGTGTATGAACCCTGTAAATCTAATCATAACTAAATGTCTTGCAAATTACCAATAGGATAAAACACTGCATTACCCATAATAAAAATAAACACTGTATTCTACAGACTGATCTGCAGGAGCATGTTGAACACACTGAAAGATGTAAGTCTCTTCATGATAAAGAGTATGCTCTGTCCCTTCCTAAAGAGAGTTTTAAAATGCTTTGAGCTCTGTCATTCCTCTAGTCTATACTCTGAAAAAAAGTTTCTAAGTGAAGACAGAATGTTTCTTAATGAAAATATTCATTTAAATCATGCAAGTCAATATAGTGACAACTTCCATTTCACCAAAAATATTGTACATTGAATACCTTTTAATTTCTCCAATATAAGTCCACAGACATAGGCTTGAACTGCAACATCAACAAGGTGTTAATTATAGTTGTATACAAAAAAACATATATATTCAGGCCTTGAATTCAGTTGTGTAAAGCCTGGATACATTATCTGACTAATGTAACTACTGGGGGTTAATTTATATGCTATGCATGGATTTAAAAAATAATGTAATGTATTACACAATCATCTGTGCAATATACGTTATTAATATACATCATTACAAACTAACAGAGGAAACTATAAAGCACATTAATACTCATACTGAAACTATTATCCAACATGACGTATTCTGTGATTGTCATTTTGCGGAAACTGAAGGAAATCAGGTCAGTTACAAAAGAGCAGGGCAGACATCCAGAGCATGTCTTGAGTCTGCTCACCACCAGGGGGCTCCACAGGACACAGGACCATTCAACTGCTGAGCAGCATCTGCAGTATGTATCAGTGTGAGCAGTTATACAAACAGAAGTGCTGCTCAACTCCCCAGGAGGCCTGCACTACAATAAGAGCTCAGGGTGAATGACACGTCTTAATTAAGTCTTATTTAATATTTCTGTATGTGTGCTGACATGCTTGATAGATGGCGTGCCTTCCATTGCTCTGCTGCATCTTTAAACGGTTTAAGTCGTTGTGATTAGATCAGTAGTCTGGTGACTTTGTTATTTCCAACATGGCTCTTATCTTCAACCTGAGCAGAGGTCCAATAAAGAGAAACTCAAAACACCTGTGTGGGTGTGCAGGGCTTTTAATTAAGAACGAAGCAACACCTAGTGCTCTTGATTGGTTTAGGTTAGGAAGGCCTGTTTTTTCTACAGTAGCCATTTTGATTTGTTGGAAAAGCACAGGTGTTGCTAATACCATTAACGATGGCTCTACTCAATTCAAGCATCCCAGTAAGCCAAGACAGGACCCTGGAACTGTAGCAGCGAAATTGGCTGTCGCTTAGGATTTAAATAAAGGTAATTTGAACATGCTTATTATTATGTAATTCCTTATGGCAGTGTAGTCTTTTGTAGATCTGCTTGATTTGAAATGTTATTTTGACTACTCTTTTAAATAATGTGGTGCTCATTTAAAGGCTAAAATGCTTTCAAATTGACTTTCTTTTACAATCATGCAAAGAAACGTGATTGTTTAAAATATCTGTAAAAACAACACACATTTATTATATGTTTAATACAGGACAAACACAGAAGAAGAATTCGTTTTTCTGGAATCCAAATATTTAATAGGTACATATCAAGTATTATTATGACATGTATAAAATTTCAGATCACAATATGAAGCAATGAATCTCCTCAGACTGGCATATGTTTGAGGTCGCCACATAAAAATGACTAATGATTAAAGTAGAAGAGAAGCAACTAAAACAGTAGAAAAATGGTGTACAGACATATAATAGTAAGCATTCTAAGAAAATTAAATGCAACTTTTTAAACTTTTTTTTCAATAGAGTGCAATAAAAATTAAAACACAGCACTGAAGCCAAGCGTCCACAAGACGTCTAAAAAGTGTTAGTACTGTAGGTTCACGGAGGGCAGAGGACAACGGACAGAGAGGAGGAGAAGAGAAGGTCACAGTAGAGAAAGAAACCGGGGCTAAGAGCTCGCCAGTCAATGCAGGGAGAAAATAATCTTTGAACAAGATTGAGCCACAGTTGAAGTAATGCACATCACAGTTAGCTTTAAAGACCATAGTAGCATTTGTACTTGCGTGTTGTTAATAGAAAAAAAATCCTGAATGATTGAACAGAAACAAGAACATCACCACAAACGAACAAACAGCCGGCCAATGAAAAGGGATCTGAACGTGGACAGAGCAGTAAGAAACGGATGTGTACAGCAGCGTGATATTTCTCTCAGCTCTACACTAAACATGGCTCTGCCTCGAAGGCTGTTACCGGTGAGCGTGATGATATCAATGAACGAGGGCTACGTTTCCCCACAAAACCAAGTGTTCAAACTATTTTGGGTGCATTATCTGAAATTCAGCACTCCAGGGGTGTTTTTAGTTCTAGTTCCTATCAAACCTGCCAACCTGAGACATTTAAAGTACCATATCAGCAACGGAAAGGATGCTAATCTGTCAGCTGCTCAAGATAGGAATATGTATATGATGTACGCAAAATATAAGTATTGGTGTGTCAGATGGAAATGTGAAGATTCAATAATGGAGCATGTGTTCATGGCTCCATAGGAATACACTTCCATCTATCCAGCTGTTACATATTACCATGTGGTAATATGGAGCAGAAGGTAAATAAAATATGTCAATGCTGATATACGTGTTCAGTCTTGGATCATGGTAAATTAGACCTGAAGATTTGTTCTGTTTTTGAGTTACACTATGAGTGCACACTGTTTCCTGTACAACAAATTCACCTCTGTCCATCTAATGTAGCCAGAAAACTCATAAATCAAATAAAAAAGAAACCATACCCTGACAAGATATTACTTTTATCTATCTGGAACCAACTGTCTGTTGCAAAAAGTGGGTCTCTGTATTTAAGTATTTAGTATCTACGTACAAAAATCACATCTGATCACTAACTCTCAAACATTTCCGTTGTTCCGTTCTTTCCCCATTTTTGATTCAAATCTCTGACTCTTATTAGATAGATAGATAGAACTTTATTGATCCCAAATTGGGAAATTGTTGAAATTATTGTATTATTATTCAATTGTATGTTGAATGTGGATTGAAACACATACTTATTGTAACATTCAATATTGTTTTTATAAAACAACCACTGTGTAATGCTGTTGAAAAGCTCTCACTATTGAAAATGATTAACTGATCCTTAGCCCCAGCACAGAACATAAACCCATTTGATACTTTTACAAGAATGACATTTAAACTGTTAAATGTTACCTTAACACAATAAAACATAGTACAACTTGGCCAAAATATAATGGTCTAAATGTAGAATTTTAAATCAGCATGGAATAAGTAAGCAACATTAGAAAACTGACCAGTCATTGAATGCAGATTTCAGTACTCAACAGTTTTAGTGTAAAAGGCACTCTTTTCCTTGTGTCTGGACTACATAACAATATATCATATTGACAATATCAGACTGGTCGCACAGTGTATTTCTGTCTATCTTACATTCTGTATACTGGGATGACTGCACATTTTGGCCTCTGAGACTCTGATGATGTGCATCTACCTATGGAATCTACATAAGGATCATATTGATTCCTCTTTGTCAGGGAATAGAAATCCATTTTCTGCATGTAATGAGACAACAATTAACTCACATCATCCTGGCTGTGCAATCCCTAATAAGACTACATTTGAACAAAATTAAGCAGAAGCAGATTGAGTTGGATATCCAGAGCTCTCCAGAGATTATACTCAATCTAACAGAGAGAACAATAGCAGATGAATATCTGCTGAGCACAACATATGCTAACCGTCTTTGTGTGAAGTCCTGGTTGATTATGGTTGCTTGGTAACACCGGGGACAACCAGTGTGCCCTTCGAGGCGTCGTTCAAAATAACAACTGCAGTGCAACTCACACTTTCAAGCTCTTCAGGTGCGAAGCCTGCTAGTCTTTGATTTCCACTACATCACGTAATGTAGAAGGACAGTTCAGTCTGAAAAGGTGTAGCTATGAATGAGAGTACATTTTATAAATGTCTTAATATAAATGTTTAATGCATCATTTCAATAGTGTTAGAGGTTTCAACAGCACTTATGAGAGAGATCTAGTAACATGTTTGTCTGGCTTGCACATTTATTTTAAGCTGCTTGGAAATGGAACACAGTGCCTTTCTAGAGGAAGAATTGGTAAGGTCATGTTTGAGATAAGTGTGTTTTCTTTTCAGGTGTGATTCCTCATTAGAAATGACTTTTTGTCCGGTTCTGCAGATATTTGCCTCTGAACTGCTCTAGCGCCTGATGTCTTTGGTATGTTTATGAACTTAATGCCTTTTATTTCTACTTATTAAATCTGACAGTTGTGCCTGTTGATCAGTGTTACGAGGATGCTCTTTTTTTAACCCAGAAATCTCCGGACGCTCCAAACAAACCGGACACTGCTGCCAAATTTCTGCTCTGGCAAGACATTTTATAATGGCATTTTTCCAAGTGATAGGAGCAGTTAACGGATTGCTAACACATGCTCCTGGTTAACCTACAAAATAAGTCATGTCATGGATGAAGTGCTTCAAAAGGCATTAAACATTGCGTGCTTCTATTTTATATAGAAATACTAGTTAATTTCACCTTGCCAACTGGTCATGTAACCTTCTTGCTGATTCTGAATGTAGGGCAGTGGGTGTTATTTCCTGCTGTGCCTTTATCTCTGCATCTAACTAGCACCTTTATTTGCCAGCTGCCTAAAATACTGCAAATATTTGAAGCAGCTCAGTATTTTGCTTACATGGTACACAATTGCATACAGGTTGGCAGGAGAAGAAGGAACGATCACATAATATTGCCGGGGAGAAATTTGCACTCAAACATTGTCCTGTATGTCAACATATGAGTAAACACAGTGGAGGGGGAAACAAGGGAACTATATCTTGAGGTGGCTAGTGGGTTTGAATTTAGGCTCCTTTTGTGCGTGTATGGGGCTAGAGTAGGGAGCTTATAAAATGTCCTTTTGAATTTCAGGCTGGTGATGTTAATGGAGACAGTCCAGGTTTAACAGATGAGGTCAGGCCCTAGTGAGGTTGTTTGTGTATGAATGATTGTGTACATTAAATGGCTGTATATGCAATATACATTTGCCCGTGGGAAAGTACAGTATGTGTGCGTAATGCATTTAAAGTGGAGCTCTAGGTATTTGTACACAGGCGCACAGAATGGATGCTTATGTGCGCGTATGTACGTATTCTACTTATAAAGTTGATGTTGTCCTCATCGGCCCTTGCTGTAGCCGGGAAAGAACTGGTCGAGCAGCACCTGAAGCGTCGAGTTTTGGGTCATCACGTAGTCTGTGCCCAAGTCTTGACGGCAGGAGGGGCAGGTGTACACCTGCGCTCTGAACGACCGCTGTAGACAAGTCTGAGGAGAGAGGAGGGCAGCAACAATTCACATATACATTTAAGGACGGGGGTTTAGAGAGATGTGGCGGTTACAAATACATCCAGTCTGCACCCACCTTGCAAACATTGTGTGCGCAGACAGTGGTGATGGGTTGGAAAGCCAGCTCCTGGCAGCACACACACATGAAGATCTGCTCCATCTTCTTCAGGAAATTCTATACATTTGCAAAGACAGAAGAACAGTGAATGAGGAAGGGGTAAAAAGGAAGGAAATACACACAGAAGAAAATATATAACAGTAGAAAGATGGCGGAACAGCTGCAGAGCCACGAATCTGCGATGTCACTTTGTTCTGGTGAGATGCTGATATGGTTCTGACTCTTCAGAATGACTGCTAACAACACACTTTCTGCCGGTACAACGTAACTACAGACCAAGTTGTTTATTTCCCTCCATCTGCCCTGATATTGCTTCCCTTAAACAATACAAAGTTATAAACAATGACAAAAAGGGTTAGCTTAATTTGATTTGGGTTGGAATTTAAGATCTGTAGACTAAGGGGAATCATTCCATTTCCATGGTCAGAGTGTACTGGGATTCCTACCGGTCCCTCTGTAAGGTATTCCATGGCTTCATCCCAGTTCTTCTTGTTGGCTGTGTCCTCCCGGATGAACTGCTTCTGCTGCTCAGACAGCTGGAAAATCTCCTCCATCTTCACCCTCTTAGAGAGAGGCTCTGCCGCTGGTGATGATTCTGGTATAAATCGACAAACAACATTGAAAAATACAGATATTCTTGGAGAATAAAAAACAGTATTCAAAATGAAGTCTACAATAGTGCTATCTTGTGGTAAAGATATTAAGGTTCTCTTAAAATAAGTGTTACTGCTCACGCTGTTCTCAGCTGTCCTCTTCTCACAACACCTTGTCTGACCTGCTTTGAGATTCTTTTGTAAAATCACCCACCAATTTCTCTGGTTGTCTTCTTCTCTCCATTACTCTGTGGCTCCTCTTCATCCGTACTGGCAATTGGCTTTCCGTACTCCTCATCGTCATCATTCTCTTCTTTCTCCTTGATCTTACGTCTCCGTGGTCTCCCCCTCCCGGGATAGTGCTTCCCCCGGCCGCCGCGACCGGGTCTGGCACAGGCCTCCTTCTTTGTTTTGTTAGCCATGGCAGACAAGTAGCCGGGCGGGTACTGCAGACAATGACTTAGTAAACACTTGATAAACATACTAGACGCAAAATGTATACAGTATTTTAATGAGACATTTAAAGCAAAGATATGTATAGGTGGATATCTGAAGTTCACATACAGATGCGCTTGCAGTCTCACCTGAACAGCAAGGCCCAGTTTTGTGATCCTCTCCAGTCCTTCAGGTGACCACGGTGCTGGTTCCAGATCGTCCCGTCTCAGCAGGTACCGCCATACCAGGTAACCACACTTTCCAATCTCTGGCCAGTATTTTACCACCTAAAATTCGTATATAAACCAGTGTAACATTAAATACTGCCATGCTTCCCTATATTTCCTACTTGTTACTATGACATTGGCCCCAGCCCATATTTGTAAGGCACTATTTGTATGTGATGCGGCTCTATTTGAGGTTAGCAGACCTCTTTCAGAAAAACAACTACATGTACTGTACCTTGTAAATACCATCGTAGCGGTTTCCCTCCTCAGGAGCGTATTTGCTGATGCGTCGACCTTTAGAACTGCGCACCACTCTCACCGGCTTTCCGGCCCGCCAGTTCCTGGACTCTGCCCCGTCTTTGTCGTTCAGCGGTGCATCACAGTTTGCAGCCAACGCCCTGCAGGAGTCACCATAAAAGAGTTATACTCAAAACACAATGATGTTCAAGTCTGACTAGGGAGTAGGGATGGTAATAAATGATCAGTTAATGATTGATTTGATCAAGTTCATCACTAAAGCTTATCTATCTTTGTAGTCATCTTTAAGTGTTGTACCTGTTCATGTGGGTCAGGGTCTGGTCAAAAGAGTGCTCTCCAATCCGTTTGTTGCCTGAGAGGTCACGACCCCCGCTGCCGGTGTAGGTGAACTCATCCCCCCGATCCTACAGACAAGATATGGAAGACATAATGAGGTGATCAGAAAATCACCTAATGCATACATGACTCAGTAAACTAAAGAGTAAAACAACAATGCAAACAACATAATAGATATTAAAAAAAATGTTTGGTTAAACCCACCACTTCATCCTCAAAGCCCCCAGCCAACACAAGCGAATAGGAACCATCGTTACTGCGCCCATGGATACCACCAACATGCGGCCTGTGAACACCTGCCTCACTCACCTGGACAGAGAGAGAGAGAAATGCATGAAAGAGCAGAGGAGAGCCATTCATGATACTGTAGGCAGTGAAATAACAGATAGTATATTACCAAAAATAAAGCATTACAACAATCTTTAATGCCATATTATTGACCAATAAGTAAATAAGATGAGACATGGTTGACTGCTCAATTTTCTTTCAGTTTTTAATCAATTCTCAAAGTAAACCCACTTAATTTATGATGCACTGTAAAACATGGCTAACCTGAACTCTGAATTTCCAGGTGGTTCCAACAGGAACACCAGGTATGGGTCCATAATGGTTTGAAGGAACAATTGTGCACTCCTTAGTACGCCCCACACAGGCCATACCCTGGAATTACATCAAGAAAAACAAAAAAGAATGTTAACTGCATGCAAAGAAATACCATTAAATGTCTCCACATCACACTTAAATACTGTTTATGAGCATAACTGCTGATGGGTTTTACCAGAAATCATCAGATTCACATTTAAGAGGCAAACCGGATTTTAAAAGTAAGAAGACTAAGAAAAGTTTTTGTTTCAAGGGTTATAAAATTGCAATAATGTGAAAAGCATGAATAAATGCTGTGTGACTCACAGAACTTTAATGTGCCCAAACACACAAACCAGCCTGTTTTCAATTAGTCCACAGAGAAAGAGAGCATTCTGGTAAAGAAACGAGTTATTTTCCGTTGGCAGTTCCAGGAAAGTGGCTAAGTCATGCTTAATGACATTGTTCACATTACACCAGGGAGACAGCCAGGCCAGGATAGGAAGGAGCCACACAATATCTCAAAGTGTTGCCATGAGAAGACTCCAAGGAGATTGTGAGGGGAACAAAATTAAACAGTATGCTTGAAACAGATGCTTTAAAAAAAACTATTTTAAATACATGTCATCTGTCCCCCTCGGTTTCATTTTCTGCCACAGCAGCCAGCATGGGATGATTTAAGTGTTGCCATGTAAAAAATATAAATGTGATTTTAGCTTGATTAGTGATATGACTCAACCGACATGATCAAAATCATGTATTTTATTTAAAGAGTAAGTAGATAACCGGTATTGTTGACTGGATCAAAAACCTCTGATCTTATTGTTTGATTCTAGAGAAAAGGAATGTTTGGTGCTTAGGCAATATTGAAAACTCTTCACATTAAACAAGATATTTATCTCAGATCGAGAACAACAAGAAGATTACTTGCTTCATTACTTTGCTACACAAAGTATTAAACGCATACACTGAACAACAAACCTGTATGCAGGAAATGAAAGGGATAACATGTGTTTGATGCAGGAATAATGCACTGAATGAATGCTAATTAAAGAGTGGCTCACCCCAAGTGTTGCATACTCAAATAGCCATTCAGTACTAAAAAATGCGGTACCACTGAATACATTTGAAAGTGCCAGTTTCATATGCAAATGTAGCTTTGTAGTTATGTCATATGATTATTATCACCAATCTGGTGGTGATGTAATACATTGAAAATTGCTAGCAGGGTAAATCTGATGGTGGAAAATCTGTCTTCTATCTCTGTGGAGCATTAGCATACTTTTGCCTATATATGCCCAATAAGGGAGCAGCATATTATTTTCCGTTCTAGAAATCACAGGCCCTCCCTTAGACTTACGGTTTTTATACAGCCGCTGTCAGTTCATCTAGTGTGTGTGTTAGTCTGTGTGTGTGTGTATCCTCTCGGGTCTCACCTTTCCCCAGTCCCTTTGACTTTCAGTTGTCGCCGAAGGCATCTTTGCTTTTTTCTTGCTGGCTTTGAGCTTCTCGCCTGCCTTAACAACCTCACTGGTGTCGTTCTTACAGGTGGGACAGTACCTGGCAGAATGAGAGGCAGTCGAGTGTGTGAGTAAGAGAGTTTGATAACAGCAGCAACAAAGCCCCAAATTAACCAGAAGGCAAAGACTGTGACATTTTTCAACGCCCTAAAGAGAGATGTTGCAACAACTACATTTTTTTATTCAGTGAATATCAGAAGGTTGGAGACAGAGGTGGTTGAGTAATGCTGTTGGTCAATCTCATCTATAACTTTTTGCTGTTTGAGTTCCATTCAGTAATACACAAGGCATTAAGCATGAGGACGAGGATCCTTCTCTCCATAACTGTCAAAATATAAAAAAATATTCTCATCCTCATCTCCACTGCATTAAACAAACTCACACCTGCATTATGTCATTATTTTAAATTAATTTGAACCTCAATCACCCCTTAATTACTGCCTAAATGCACTTCAGCGTGTACTAAACACCATTAATCAGCATTGTTAAATTGATTGTGAAGTGGTGGATGTTGTGGCTAATTGCGGCGCTACGCTCTCTCTCACCAGTCCTCGTCATCTGGGATGGTGCCCAGCGGCGGGTTGAGGCAGTAGATGTGGAACGCCATGTTGCACTCGTCACACAGCAGCTGCATGTGAGCATCCTGCTTCCCGCCGCACACACAGCAGGAGCAGAAGCGACACTCTGCCTCAGGGTCAGCCTTGCAGTGCTTACACTCTGGCCCACTCTTCCCTGGAGGAGGAAACATTCATACACATGCACACGTGTTTGAAGATGTTCTTTTGCTATGGTCGCGGGCATGTTTTGTCACCTTTTTCACAGTGTGTTTGTATATGTGTGTGCAGTCTGTTGCATACGTTTAAATTGTCCGTCTGAAGCTGAGAGTGCAGGAGCTCCTGGTCTCTCCAACTGGTAGATTTCATCCAGAAAATGAACTTTACAATCCCCAATTATATCTCCAGAACCCCTGAAGGCAGGGCAAAACAAATAAAAGGATGGGAGAGAAAGCACAAGGAAATAAAACCAGAAGGGAAGATGAAGACTTTTGACTAAAGGATCATCTTGATGAGAAAAAAAAGATTATTGACCAAGCAGACATTATAATAAATATAAACGACTATCCCCATAACCTCCCACCTAGGAAGGAAGATCCTCACCCCAGGAGGATCTTGACTCGGAGCTCTTTGTTGGTGCGGGAGGGTTGGTTAAGGGCCTGAACCTCGGCATCAAACCAGAAGCCCCTCTCCTCTGGCGTCTCCATGTTGTAGTTGACCATCACCCGCATGCCCACCTGCAGCTGGTCCCACCGCAGCAGAGTCCTGGCACGGGGTCGCACATCCACCGGCCGTATCTCCACCACCCCGTTCTCTGGGTAGCTGGAGAAAGGAAGGGGGAGAAGGAAAGGAGTGAGAAATCTGCCTGCTATCATCACCTTGATTTTCACACTCCTGTCTTATGAGTCAATCAGAGGTTAATGGTTACAGACACTTTCTTTTCTTCAAAGATCAGATTTCTGTACATATTTAATGTGCATTTCATGAAAGTCACATTCTTTGATTAAAAGTGTTCACTTCTTATACATTAGCTGCATTCGCCATAGTTCGGAAGAGTTTAACCTTGGAAACAGGGTTCAACAGAGTAAAAATAATTCCCAGCAGAAAGCAGCCATTCAGAACAGTGTTTGGTAAAAAGATGGATGTGAATAGAAACTATTTACCAGCTCAATGCATTGAGAGATTCACAGTCTGTCCAGTTGATAAGCAATACAAGCCTTTGTGCAGTCTGCTGAGCCTACACAAGCCACTACAGGCAAACACTGTCATGCATTTGGACTTTTCACAGAAAGCCAAAAGCTGATTATAGGAATAAAGTAATGATTAGGAGGCATTTTCTTATTTTAGCAAATTATTTAAATTACACAAATGATTTAACTATCCTTGTACATTCTGTATATATATAAAAAGAAATGGCTTTACATACTATAAGGCAATTCCACACAACAACTTCCTGACTGGGGTTTTGGAGCAAAGGATTATAAAGGATATTAACTGCTATTGCCTCCCTGTAAATCTACACAGAAAATAATCTAATTACAGCAGCCCTACAGCCCTAGTGACTTTTCTAGTCAAACAGTCTTTTAAAAGTTATAGTCAGGAATCAGTCATTCATGCTTATGTTAAATTACAAATATTCAGGATATCTGGACTGGATCCGCTGTTTGAAGGGACAGAACACGGCACTACATTATATTCATGAATATTGTTTCTGCTCACTTAACACAGTCAAATGTTTATGCAAACTCCTGTCTGGGATGACCAGGCATGAGCTTCCTACATCCTGAGTATGAGTGAGTAAAGATTTGAGGTGAGTAAAGATAACAGCCTTATTAAGCTTCTTTTGTAAAAGCCTCATGTGTCTTAAAGGTCCCATGTCATGGCCATTTCTACTGATCATAATTCCATTGTCGAGGTCTACTAAAATAGATTTATATTGTGCAATTTTCCAAACTCACATTGGTTTCTCATACAGCATCTCTGTGTGTGTATTCAGTCTGTCCTAAACGGCTTGTTGGAGCTCCTGCCCCCCCCCCCCCCTATGAGCCAAGTGGCCGTCTGCGAGACAGCGAGACACAGCGAAACCCAGCCCGAAACCAGCCCGAACACACACACCGACTCACTGCCTCGCCACGTCCCGCCGTCTCAGGGAGGAGAAATCGGCGGAGCTGCAGCTGAGAAAAGATTGTGTGCGTGTGTGTGAGGAAGTAACGGCTCCGGGGACGTAACGTAACGGCTCCACGGATTGGTCCATTTGGGTATGGGCACGTCACTGTACCCAAAAAGAAATCTCCAACGAGGCGTTCTAGGGCAGCATAGACAGGTATTTTCTGTGTTAGAGTTTTACTCGCTACAGGGTGTACTTTGAGGGTTTGTGACTTTGCAGACCGTTTACATGCATAACAACCTTCATAACACACAAGGGACGGGTAATAACCGGAAAAGCATGACATGGGACCTTTAAAGGTTTACTTTTCAGTTTTAAATAGGTTTTACAGTTAGGGTATACAGGGTAAGGGTTATAAAAAAAAAACACGTTACCCCACAAAGTTTGATTGCCAGCTTTACATAAGGAATAGTTATATGGCTGTTTGAACAACAATGCAATTCTCGTCTTAATGTCGTTGTTAGTTTGCCAGGCAACCAATAGAGAATGCAGAAAATTATTGCACCCGTCCAAGAATTTCTCTGGCACATTAAACCCCATAAAACCCCAACATGATGTTTTTATACCTCAGTGTTGGCACAGATTAAACAAAAGAGTGAGCTTTGGAGGTGCTAGTAAACAGATTTAGCTACATTTGTACAGAGCCAAACTAAAGCTGTATGCTCAAAGTTAGCCTTTAGCCCTTGTTCTCATCTATGTGCCCATGCTAAGCTACCTAGCTTTATATTTAAGATTTGATTGAACTCAAAAGTCTTAACTCAAAGACTCAACAAACAAATACACAATTCCTAAATGTTTTTTTAAACTGTGATAAGGTTTTTTATTTTTAATATCCATAAAGAAAACTAGTAGCAAATCTTGTTTAACTCAAAATGTTTCTCCTTCTGCCATAAGTATGAAAAGTATTCTTGTGTGGCAAAACTTGGAGATGTGGAAGATGAGGTTAATCGTGCTGGTTTCCTGCCTGCCAATCATCATTAACTGTTAGGATCAGGCCTGACTCACAGATGAATTAACAGCTTGCCTGCGTGCCAATCACTGGAATTATGCTTACATGAGTACAATGTGTTGGCAGAGAAGTTTTACTGCACAACAGCCTGCACGCTCAGGGCCGCTTACACAGTGGGAGGTGGAAGGGGAAGTTGAGAAACGTGTGCAAACTGTGTTTTTCAGGGAAAGTTGAGTCTAAAACGTGGTACTTTGGGAGTCTGAACCGATGACACAAATTAATCAACCAAAATTCCAGACATTTAAGATGTTAATCAGTCCAGAAATGCCCTACTTAAGCTTTACTTTCTTACTAACAAGACCATGCTGCATGTTTTAAGCCATTGTAAATCGAGGAGAGGTCCTACAGAGGCAGACTGGAAGAGTAGCGCAAAGCTAGCGTTCTCCCAGGAAGAGGAGGCCGGGGCACAGTGTGGGGATTTCCTTTTTTAGGCCCAAGGGATTACTGCAGTTTTGCGTTTAGGGTAAGGGGGGGTGAATACAAGCAACACTAATGTACACAGACACACACCAATATGGACATGTGCACACACTGAAACACACACACAGCGGAGAGGAATATCAACCCTGGAGCACAATGGGACTCAGCATGAACAGAAGGAGAACACGGACCAACACAAGAGGAGCAGAAGTACCCGAGTTTGAGACCACACAAGCTCACACTGTCTGTACTGCTGCACACTGGCCCTGCTCCAAACCCATGACAATCCACCAACTGAGGCACCAGATTAATTAGGAATTACATAAAATATCAATTTGCAAATGGAAACATCTTACATACTTCTTTTTTTGAAACGCAATACAGTGTTTTCCTCCTTAAAACTGCTAGTTATTGCACCAGCAGATATCAAACAAGTAAAATAAGAATCTGTTCTGTAAGTCTGGAGGAATAAAGTCGAATATTTGAGGTACGAGGGTTAAACAAGAAACCAAAAATCACGTCAAGACTCTTATCAATGCATAGTTTATCTATATGGAATGTTGAAACCTTTTTAAATCAGTAGGGAAATTGAGAAAACATGACTGATCTACGGACGAGCTCTTTTCTCTCAGTTTTTCTGTTATGAACCCATCATTAGCGTTTTATGTGTTTAGCCGAGGTCCCTGTAAGAAGGGAGACAGGCAACGGAGAAAATGAGAAATCCTCAATTTGCTGATAAGCTGCCGAGTTAGAAATGCTCTGACACTAAACAAGCTGAATATAATTGCTTCAACAGTAGGGAGGGAAAGTGTCTGTAGGCTCTCTCAACCTCGGCTTTGTTAGTAATTGAGGGCAAAATGGGAGGCTGCGACTCTTTCATAAATATATATCTTAATTTAGCGAATGTTAGGATGAGACATTTTCAAGTTAAGTCACGAGAAAGACATCAAAAGACAACTTCAGGTATTAAAAAGAGCCACTTTAGTGATTTTAAACATGAATCCTATTATCCTAATGTGACATTTCTACTTCTTACCTCAAGTTGTAGTAGTATACATAATGAGGGATAACACTACAGCTTGACAAATATGGGATTATTGAAGCTCATACAGATATAAAACTGTGATGCTGAAAAAGGTCTGATAAAGAGTCTGATAATATATATGTGTATATACAGTTGTGAATTAAGCTGTGTATGTAAATAAGGCATGGTGATAGCAGGCTGAGCAATCATGTGACTATTAATAACACCTGTGTGATCTCAATTGTGACAGGTAAAAATGTCCTTTGTGAAAAGGCCTTTAAAAGCACCATGTCAAGGATTACAGTCACAGTGAACATGACCCTATTCCAAAATGCATAATATCTGCTCACACCAATATAACTGTATAAGGCACATTTTTGACAGCCAGCATTTTGGTACCCAACAATCATACAATAACTGTCTAGAAATTGTGATGAGAGTGGGCGAGTGAGAAAGAGAAACTTATATGAAACTTCAATTAGACCTAATTTCATCCTCATTTCAATGTCACTTACATAATTGGAATCGCAGCAAAAAAAGCTCTTTGAAAGGCACTCAGATATCAGCCGCGTTCTAACAACTGCCACAGCTTTAGATGCAGCTGGTAAGATCTCTTCCACTGCCACGTTGATCCTGAACAATTAGCAGACAGAGCCCATTTAAGAAGAACGTAAGTCTCTCTTTTAAGAAAAAGCCCAAAACACCAATTTTACTTTAAATAGCTACATATGAGACATTATAAAAAAAACGATCACAAGGTGCAGTGATTAAGATAGCAATAACCCATTATTCACAAAAAGCTAAGGGGTTACAATGGCTCTATTATATTCAGTGGTTCCAGTAAACAAGGGCAGTGTTACAGTGAGCCATGAACAACACAGTAACTAAATGGAATTCAGTTCTAGCTTCACTATTTACACAGGGGCTTTTCCTACAGACATGTACAATTGACCTCCATTGTGCCAAAAGTCTACAATGCTGCTGCAGATTCTGAAAGCTCGTCTGGGACTAATCCTCTTGTCTAGTCACTAAGGTTGAATGACGAGGGCAATATATATATATATATATATATATAATAAAGTGTATGACATACTGTGTGGCTTTGGCATAACAAGTACTTTTCTCTTGATTGATCAGGCCAACATTTGCCATGAGTTCAGACTAGTGCTCAATGTTTAACAAGACTAATTCTGCTTGAACCTGAATATTTTCTTTCATTTTGGTCAAATGATGTAAGAGAAAGCACTGTTTTCTTTAAGCAGACATTCAATTTGTAATTTTTGTATTTTATTTTGTGATTATTAACCATACGTTAAGTAGAACATATTATATTTGTCAATTTGATGTCTTTATTTACTCTCTGCAAAGAGAATCTTAAACATATGTTTAGCTGAACCATGGAACCATATCTGAAAGTATTGTTATGCACACACAAACACCACTTTATTTCCTGGTAGCAGCAGAGGGGAGGTTGTCCCTACATATCCCTTTGATTTTGCGGCTCATTACATTCTGTAAAAAACAGAGTTCATTTTGTAGGGCTGGTTTTCATTTCTATGCAGGCAGGTGTTTAATGGGGGAGTATGTGTGCCTGCGTGGGAAGGCGGAGCGATCATTCCCACCCTCCACTTTTCCCTGGCAAACAAACATATCTGCAGAAATCTGGAATGCCTCTCAGGACAAAGTACTACGCATTTAGTAAAAGGCAAAAGAGTATATTTTCACAAGTAACCAGACAAACAGAAAGGTGAGAATTTAGATCTATTGCAGTTGTAGCAGCGGCTTCTCAGCAGCACACAAAACCGGGGTTGCATTTGTGGCTCATTTGGTGAAAATGCAAATCACATATGAGGGTGACGTCCTGGGTTTAAAACTAGCGTGGGCCCTTTGTTGTCATTTTTGTCTCACTCTCGCTACGTTCCCTGCCTCTCTACCCTGACTGTCAGCTATCAAATAAAGCAAATGGGGAACATGAGGCGAAAAACAATAATCTGAGTAAACAAACCAACAGATAAATAATGAAAACCACTGAAGGGGCACACAAACAATGTGTATTGTTGCATTTTCCCTGCAGAAACACTCCTGTCCCGTTTTAAATGATGAAACGAATAAAAGCCAAATACCAGGGATTTGGAAGATTGCAGAATGTCAAATGGGAATGATGTCTGCCTGAACAAAAACCTACATTTATTGCTCAACAACCCTTGATGCCGTTTCTCTGGCATAACATCCCGTGACAGAAACACACAAACACACACACGCACACACCGCATAGACGCAGTGAGCAGGCTATGTCTCACCGGTGGCATGTGCACAGCAATTACAGACAAAGCTGAAGGAGGCAAGCAAAGAAGTAATGCTCCTGAGAACTCGTGAGTTACCATGGAAACATCGGCTTCTGAATGAATTTGCTGGAAAAGCAGAGCGCAAGAGATAGAGTCCAAATTGTAGCACCAACTACCCAAACCCCCTCTTTCCATCCCCTGAACTGCCAGGGGAAAGCAGAGGCTGCAATTCCCGACGCACCAAACACCGTAACTGATGCACACCAATGGTACCATGCATTTTAAAAATGGATATCTAGTCAGAATATAACATTGTGCTGTTACACAGCGTATTAAAACGAGAAGGTAAAGAATCACAGTATCCTAATAGAGCCACAACACTGCATTATGTTCCAATCCTAAACAGATATTCATTATCCAGAATGATTTATGTTCACCTGACCAAAATGCAGCAGCAAGGACACTGTGCAGATGTCTGCTTTAAGGGTCTCCTATCATGCTAAACGCACTTTTTAATGTCCTTTATACATAAATATGTGTCCCCGGGAACTCACAAAGTGTCAGAAAACAAAACCCTCTCTCTTTTCCTCCGTACCCAAATCTAAAAAAAAAGGGGGTACAGCGGAGCTGATCCAGATTTGCGTCCGATATGAGGTAATATCGGAAATGTGGACCCACGGCACTATCAGAAAGTTGCTATCAGAAACAATGCCTGACGTGTTTTGGATGTAATATGGTCTTTGTTTACATTAGCAAGCATCGCTAACACAGAGCTAACCTGTACTGGAGAGAGCATGTGTAAAAAAGCGGGAAATAAAGAAAGGAACTCACCTTGTGGTAAACCCGCAAGAGAAAAAGCATTTGAGCTCCATACTGTTTCAGAAATAATCCATGATGTGGTTTGGAACATGATATGGTGTTTAATCACGGCAGCATTTAGCTGTATCTCGTAGAATTCTGAGTAGGCACAAGCTCCCCCTCCTATTCTTTTTTTGTTTCAAGCTAAGGACCCAAAATCAGTGTTTCTCTAACAGGGCTGGAATAGAGGGATATGAGGGATGTCAAAAAATCATGATCTGTTTGGTATTTTGAGCAAAACACGTCATAGACATGTTTTTTATATATTTATATCCAAGACCCATAATATATGCCTGAAAATTGCATAATAGGAGACTTTTTTTAACAGAAATCTACTATTTTAATAAAAATCTGTGATGATGTTTTTGTTATCGCAACAACTAAAATCAGCTCAGGTGCAGCAGGAACACATGTCACTTACTCGTCATATTTAATGTGGTACAATACATCCTCTTCTTTCTCCTTGGTCTCTGAAGCTGCTGTAGAGTCTGTCTGCGAGGTGGAGGCTCCGTTACTCTCAGAGCTTAGCTCAACATTATTCCTGTTACTGTCTGTGGTTTGGCCCTGGCCGTGGGCCTGTCCCTGCTCGGCCTCCAGCTTTCCATTAGTCCTTTTTGGGGGCCGGCCCACCTTGCCCTTGGTGGGCGGTATCTGTCCTTTGGGAGGCCATGTCACGTTTTCGACGCAGGCCTCAAACCAGGCACCGATGCTGATGTCTCTACAGTCCACCAGCTCGTGAATCTGAGAAGACACAAAGACAAAAATAACACCTGGCCTCTTGATCTTCTCTGTCTGCTGTTTGAACAAACACGCCATGTATCAGCCCATTTGCTACACACCATTAAAATAGCTTTACAGAGAGTATCAGATGTAAAGAAAATGTTTTCCTACCCCTGGGAAGTCAAACAACTCATTAAAATACTCTGGGTAATAAAAGTTATGAGCAATTTATAGTAAAAAAAAGGTGATACATGCAAACAACATTTTGCATTTATTCTTTCATTAGCTCTCTGCATTACATTTCTTCTACTTTTTAGAAATAGATGTAACCCCGAGCATCGTTTTGCTATATTCTGCTTTGGGAAAACTTAATCAAATATAGCAGATTCTGTGGTGAATGTATAAAGACTGTAAAAAGGCATTTGACCTTGATATCCAGTGAAGCTGCACAATTTAAATCTCATCTACTTAGTTACAGTATTGATCTCCCTGCATGCAGAATTGAACTTTTGGCATCCATCAAAAGAGTCCCACACTCATATCATTCTCAGAGCTCAGAACACATTAGAGTACACTCACAATCGTATGGGTTTTGACTGCAGTCTATTTATAATCTGTAAATTGGTTAGTGACAGGGTTGTAAAGATCTGATTCTTATGTGTGGCTTGACCTGTGCCTCTCTGGTAAAGTTGGCCACATGCTTGTGTGGCATGCCATTAGTCCTAATAAAATCAAGGCATTCAGGGTGAGACAGAGCAGTTCAACAATGAGAATGAATGATTCATTTGGATAAAATACATCTAAATATCTAAGCTACAGCACAAGACAGTGGGGAAAGGAATATAGGACTGCTTAGTCATTTAAAATAGAAGAAATTGCACAAGTACACATGGGAAAATAAAAATCATAGTGGTATTGTTCCTTCATCATTTTTGTTAAGCAAACTGCTGTAAAATAATAAAGTATTCAACCTACTGTAGAAGCATGCACACTACTTGTTTCATGCAAGCTAAATTACACAACTAAACATATACTTTTTGTAACATCTCATTTATAAATTATGCAAGCGATTTACAGGGTGGTTTTGGAGTTTTAAACCACATTGGAGCACAAGATAAATAAAAAGTGCCCAGCCCAAGAAACTCTGGCATTGATTTGCCCAAATGCTCTGTAATTGAGCTAAAAGTCCAGCCAGTACCATGTAAAGCCTTGCAAATACATTAGGAAGATTAACCCTCTCATCCTCACCTTGTACACACCGATTCCCGCGTCCACTAGTGTGTTTCTGCTGGATGTGGGGGGCTGAATGTACCATGCTGGACTCGGGGTCTTGAACACACTTTTGGTACAGGCTGAGTGACTGGTAGCGCTGGTGTCCGGCTTGGTTTCGTTAACAGTGCTGGTAGTGACGCTGCTGCGGTCATTGTCTATATTGGGGGAGGTTTCCATAGCAGCGGGGGAGCCGGGAGCTGGGGAGTTGTGGCTTTCCGACCTGCAGTCAGTGGGGGGGGCTGAACTACAGGCCATTCCGGAGGAGTCCTTGGTGGCGGGGCTGTCCGGAGGGTCGGTCTGCGAGCGGATCAGCAGCTGCACGATGTCATTCAGTCCCACGTTATAGTCATACAGGGTATGGCCATCTTCCATCTAAAAAGATACAACATTAAAAAGTCACTGACATGCTTGAATAGACACCGCTTTACAGATGCTAAAAATTCATATTTGTATATAGCGCTGCAACACAATTATTTTTAACAGTCAGTCTTTAAAAAGGCATGTTTTCTTTCTAGTCAGTAAACCCAATAAGAATTACATTTAATGTATACACATATATTTAAAAAAGAATCCAATACATTTAAAAAGCTATGACTAAACATGTTTGTCCTTTGTTTTTTTTTATGAACAAAAAATGATTCATCAAATCTTCTGTCAACTAGTTGTTGCAGCACAAATAATGATATCTTAAGCTTGCCGATGGATGTGTATGTGGATAATGACATAAATGTCCATGAAGACATATTTCATTAAATATTGTACCACAATTCTTTCCAAATAGGCATCTATGTGGTATGAAACGAAAACTGTGCCACAGAGCGCCCTCAGACAAATACACTCGGCTGCTTGTCAAGGACAAACAAAGAACGAAAAAGACGGAAGACAACATTGAGCATAGTGAGAGAATACAATTATGTATTGTTACTGCACTCAACAGCTACAGAGCACATCACAATATACACACACAGCACTTTAAATACACCAGTGGTTGAGGACGATGCTAAGGAGTTTACTGCAAAACATCTGCTCTCTGCTTTAAATGGCCCGATGGTTTCCTAGTAGCCAATAAATATATGTACCTCTGAACTGATTTGTGTATGTATATAGGGGGGTAAACAATGGCAAAATATGCACTTATGACTGGTAAGCTGTTACTTGGCACTACTGATTTGCCACGTTTGTATTAGTTTACATATCCAGTCCAATAGACATGGATTGCAAACCGCCGCTCCGTTCACATAAATCCCACATCGCTTTTCAGCAAGACGGAAAAGAAAAAAGGAAATAAAAGAAACGAATGCATGAATTAAAGTGATGGGAGATGTAGCTGGGGGGAAAGAAATGAAGTGGGTTGCTATGACAACCAAAAGAGAGCACCCCCACCCCCATGAACCTGAATCATGTATACAATCTCTGTCGACACCAACCCACCATCATCATCAGCGCCCTTTTCAGGCAGTGCGGCGTGTATGGGCATCAGAAAGATGGTTCTCTCGACAAAATAATCTCTGGAAGATACGCTGAGGGCCCGTTAGAAAACCCGTTTTTTACCACAACCAATCTACTGCTAAGTATACAGTACAGCTACTGCCTTAGGAATGGAGCTTATGGCAAGCAAGCCAACTCATTATAGACATCAGCTATTCATTTCAGTCCTCAACCCCACAAGCCCATTGTACTGGAGAGACGAGCATGGCCGCCACTCGCGCTCGCCTTCTCCTCTTGGTTATTTGACAGCGAGCAGGAGAGGGAGCAAGCGCAATGTCCCCATCCCTCCCTGTTTTTAATAGTCTCATGAAATTTAGATCAGAGGAGCACTGGTGCAAACACAGTGATTGCTATACTCACCTGTCTATCTGTTATTATAGGGTACTCTATCTCAGCATTTCTTTGTCTGTCCCCCTGCCTAAACTCCATCTTCGATTTGGTCTCAGTAATTGTCTATCCTCCTCTGTGTTTTGCTTGCTGATACTGCATCAAGAAAAACCATACGATTGTTGGTAGGGCCTGCAGCAGGAAGCCTTGCTGGTGAGAAGTACTTGGTACGCAGACAGATTTTAGTATTAGAAAGATGCGGTTGAATTTCATGCACCGCAGCAAACCTCACAATTGATATCTAAGCTGTAGCCGCTTTCCACAGCGCCTTCATTGTGCGATCAGCCTCTCACTGCGAGGTGCAACAGCCCTGACATCAGTAACCAGCGGAAAAATCCTTCAAACAAAGAACCGCCATGCAAACAGGCAATGTCAGACATGTTTTTTCTGTTTTCATGGAGGTCAAGATCTCTTTGACAGAAATATTAGCTTGTGACTCTCTCGAGCGAGCGAGTAGGACGAATAACATCATCAAGGATATGACATTTTCTCCTACATCATAAATAATAAAGAAAACACATTATGGAATCTCTGTTATGTGATTGTGTTTCAGAGGGAGACTTTAGTTAACAGACCACGTCATAACAAAGCTTTAGACAAACCAGAGACTGTTAATATAAATTACTCAAAACGCAAGAACAAATCACAGTCGGAATTCCTTGGCATGGCAACAGTGTGAATGCTTCCATGTCTACGTATGTGTGTATAACATTGTTCAGTAGATAAAATGAACACCTCTGTACTAATTTCAGTTTCGACAGGCAGTCTTTCTAACACTCATTTTTAGTATTGTAAGAGGAACAAAAGTACAGAGTCAGAAAGAACGCCAATCAATGACAAGAGAGACTACATAGAGACAGAAAAAACATCTTAGACATGCAGGCCGAAACATTTTCTACCTATTCTATACAAATATCAGTCATGAAACAAATGTGTTAACATTATGATAAAACATTATGATAAAACTACAGACAATAATAACTATCATAGAGCAGAAACCGTGGGTGGGGTAAACCCCTTACTCCGACACGATTTCTTCTTCTTCTCCGCCCACAGCAGTCTTAGCAAAGAGCTGAGCAAAATAGGTCAGATTTCCAAAAACAATGACATGGGGTGTGTCTGTGCGCCTGCATTACCGAGCGCCCATGTTCCGTCTTTTATCCCTCACTCTGCTCACAGTCGTTCAATCTTAAACCAACATTTTCCACTGTTAATTAGCACATTTAACCGAAAGGGGACTTGCTTGTTCTTCGTTTGCTGCCGTTTTGATAACTTTATGTTAGTTCCTACTACATCCTACTGTGCAAAAAACAAGCATTTGGTCAATTTGTCACCTTCAAAATACATTCAAGGTCCCATGGTCATATACCACTCTACTACTGTACGACAAAGTAGATGTAATACAAATCACAGTATTTCCCCCCAATACATGATTAATTGTCATTAGGAAGGGAGAATGTAGGACAAAATAGTAATAAATGTTATTTACTATAAGTGTAAACTTGCAGTATTCAAGTATATGTGACCAATATTTGTAGTTTATACCTACATGTATAAATATAGATTAAAAACATTACTAAAGTAAACAACTCTCTTCATTATCATAAAATACCATGTTGTATATTAAACTGTTTATTCACGATGCACGTGTAGGCGCTAACATTTTGCATGTAGGCCATTTGACCACCAGGCAAGCTAGAGCTACTATTAGGAGTGAAGTAAACTATGAAAACATGGGGGAGTGTTAGAAAGCATGCAGTTGTACTCTAGATTTAGTGCCTCTCTTTGTCTTTGCTCTTTGTCCAGCCTATCTGTCGAAGAAGGGTGTGACTGTGTGTACATGCATGGCTGCAGCCAACTCCGTTTCCCCTGAAATTCTACCGCTTGGCAATGTCCAAAGAAAAGCCATCAATCGAGGAGCCACAACATCAATGCATGTATAATCAAATTGTAACTATATATCTAGGTCACTAGCCAATAAAGCTTTCGTACAGCCCAACAATAAGCAACAGCAAACAGTGGAGGACAGCCCAACCATTTAAACGTGAAACATGTTGCTGCCTCGAAAGAAAAAAGTGAACAGCCTCATATTTGAAGCACACAGACGCAATACAATCTGAGCTTCAAACAAGCTAATTAACAGGAAAAGGCTTATTTATTTTTTTATTAGTAAAGAAGTCTTCTGAAAAAGTGAGTGCAGGGGTGTAGCAGAAAGGCTGCATGGACAGTGGAAGGTGTGTGTTAGTCTGCCCGTGAACAACAAGACACGTTGCTCAATGTGAAACAGAGACATGAAGAGTTGACAGGAAAACTGCAAAACCAGTCAAAAAAACTCAAAACAAACACTGGGGCCAAGTTGTGCGGCTGCTGGCTCGAGACACTTCCGAGTCAAGGGCAAGCATGACTTTGAACCGGAGAGGCAGCGTGAGCAGTGAGCTGGGGGGAAAAACAAGACGCCATTTTGGAAAGGAATTAGAGTTATTCTGCTAGAAGTCCAAATCCCAACATGCATGTAAGGGCACTAGCTAGAATACGCTGCGTGTCGCTGCCTCATTCCATGCATTACTTAACGTATGGAATTCCCCTAATCAACCCTCCCCACTTTCTTTCCAGTGAAGTGAAGGATTTACTACACAGGCCTGGCCTTTGCAACCACAGCTCCAACAGATCACTACAACTCAAGTGGTACAGATAATTAGTTGCTAATAGAGCAAATAAGAAATTGAACTGCATTGTGGCTTCTGCTGTGCTACAATCTTGCTTTGTCACTGTGGTGTATTTAACTTGCACAAGGGTTTTGTTGAAGGATATTGGTCATAACTGCCTATATTTGTACGAGTTTATAAGTAAAAATGCATCTGGGTTTACTGGTCCAAAAAGATATACAATATCTCTTTCATAATAATGGTTTGCCAAGTGAACCATTGTTTGACAAAAAGCATGTGCTGTAGCCAACAGATGTAAATATAAAAGCATTCTATGAATTACAATCTCTCAAACAGTTCATGAAGCATTTTTCTAATATCCATCCTGCAGTGGATCCAGCTCACAAACAAAAATCAACCTAAGTGGCCTGTACTAGGATTTAGAGTTAATTAATTACCTAACAGGAAGTAGGTTAGACAACTCGAAAATGCAGAAAGTCATTTATAAAGGAATTGTTTGCTCTACATTTCTGCCTGGCACATATGAATGAAGGAGAGTGTGACTAAATGTAAACAATGTGAGACCAACACACCATGTGGGCTGTTTGCTTCCTGGGGGCTTATCTGCCTCGCTGACTCATGTTGAGTTATCAGTTTTGTAATGTTATTCTTAAATACTAAATAAATCATGTCACCAGTTTCCTGTCAGAAGTGAGCATATATATATATACATATATTACTGATAGAATAACAGCTGGTAACTTGAACACAATGTACACATTAGGATGCAGGGTGTCTTTCTGTCTTTTATATAATATCCTTATGTTCACATATTTGGAACAAACAAGAAATTATCTGAATAATAGGATGTCAAATCACATTAATGTTGAATCTGTAATGCTTTTTCAGTCTAATTATTATATTATAATTATTGCAGCATTGCAGTGATATAAAAATACATATTTTAAATATTGTCAACCATTTACAACAGTATTAAAAAAAAGTGTGTTAAAAGGTTTAATTAATGTCAATCCCGCTCTGTTCCAGAAACAATATTACCAGTATTTGTTATTAAATGTCTAAGATCTCATGCTGTGGCAAAACATCTAAATCTATCACAACTAAATCACAATACCTTTAAGGAATGTTCCATGATACAAATATATAGGGGATAAAGTGCTTAGAAACATTGGTTCAGTACGCTCATTTCTAAAAGTCTGCATTACTGATGCAATTATACAGGTATGGAGTGTAGTAAACCAAAGCTACATTAAATTGTTGGTGGGGTGAGCAGAGATATCTAAAAACATTTTACTTTCTTCCTCATTTTGGTGGAGATAAATGTGAAATAAAGAGATTCTTAATGTTTTTGCAGGATTGCCCTATTGTTCAACAATGACTGATTACATTATCATTATGTTTAGAAAATGTAACATTTACTGAAAAATAAAGCATAGCAATACAAATGAATGTGGTACTGAAGCAAGTCGTATTACTACAGAATGTGTATTATTGTATCATGTTTTACAGGTGACAGCTTTGTCCATCCTCACTGTACTGTGTGCATATTTTAGTGACGCCAGGGTGTAAACACAACTGCCTTTAGCTGTCAAGGCACGTGGAGCCACGAGTCCACTCCTCCCTCAAATTATCATTAACATCATCATAACACACCACATGCACGAGCCTGCTGGACCACTGAGTGCAGTTTAAAGCCACATGTGAACAATACAAAACAGATTTAGAAAGGAGATTTTGAATCTGACACACGGTTCAAAACAAGTGCTGCGGTATGGTGCACTATCTCCTTTGGTCTGCATGTGGAAACTGAGTGCGATGTTCTCTTTTCCCTCGCGTCGCAATGTAAACAAACATGTCTACGGTAGTGAGACATTTGTTGCACGCACTGCAAACCCAAACAATGGAGTACAGTGTGAAAATATGACCATGCATCCATGCAATGTTGCTGTTTTTCTCAGGGGCTGGCACACCGCGTACCCCAGGCTCTTGCGCAATAACTATTGGCGAATTCCTATCAAAACAGGAAGCTCGCATGGGTCCGAAAAATCGCTACAACACCAGAGACCACTCACTCTCCACAAGCACCAAAACATCCAAAACCGACTGTTGCATGACGGGTTGACACGGGGTTTGTGTTTACCTGCTTTCCTCGGTAGAACAGACGCTGCTGCTGTGGGTTTACACTGAAGATCTCCTGTATTTTCAAACGTAAAGACTCAATTTTGGTCAATCTAGAAAGATCCTCAACGGTTCGCGTCTCCTTCCCGTCTATCGTGCGAACCTGGATCCACATTGTTGCACCGCCCTGTAACGCCTCAGATAAATAGGAGATAAAGCAATATTTTGGATACGAGTTTTGTTTTCCAGGGGTAGAGGGAGATAGAAAGGAAAGCGATCAGGGATCCATTGCGTTTTCCTCTGCAGAGGTAACGTCGGACTGGTTCGCGCAGGAGTCTCACATGAGGTCGCGGCGCCAAGCAAATCTCGCGAAACAACGTTTAAGCGATCACAGTGCGCAGTTAAAGGCGCAGCTCTCCATTTAATGTACACAGAGGACAACATTCACAGGACAGTAGTGGTTGGAAGCTTACGAAGTTGCGTCTGAGAACAGTATAATACAATTCACCTGTCATCAAAAATCATTATTTGATTAGTTATGTATTCCTGATTTATTCTTAGTTTTACTTCAAAAACACTATTTTGTCTGACAGTTACTTTGCAAATGTTCATAAAGAATTTGCACATAAAAAACATTGCTAGATCTAATAGGCTATCTATTGGCCAAAATGTAATAATATAATAGGATCGGGGGCCATTCTGCTGCACTTTTCATACTTTACTGCCCCTCAAACATTTAGTTATAGCATATTTAAAAAACACAATCTATTAAATGTGTTCTAAATATAACAATATAATTACATTTTTGCCATCCTGTTGCCACATGGCATAAAATAAAAGTGTCTACACTATATCTATTATTTAATTGATAAAAATATGAGCCCGTTTAGCAGCATACTATCTTACTTTTACTGTGTAGCAAGTGACAAATTCATAATTGATCCATGTATATATTGCCTGAGATAAAAAGGTCCTTATCTAGACTTTGACACACACTTTTTAAAGGGGACCTATTATGCAAAATCCACTTGTTCATGTCTTTTATACATACACATGTGTAAAGAGATTCTGAAAGTTTCAGGAAAAAATATTCGCTCTCTTTTTGTCCTGATCCATTTATATAAAAACATGTCTGAAAATGAGCTGATCAGATTTTGGCCACTTCATGATGTCATAACAATTTTTTGGCTTGTGTGACCATTAGCCAATAACCAACCAAGGTAACCCCCGCCCACCTTATCACCTGCATCTCCTCCTAGAGCACCAAGTGTTCTTTTTAACCAAATATCTCTCAGAGGGGCGTTGGGAGTGGCTCCTTATTTTCATCTAAAGTAAAAGTCAGAGAATCAGCACTTTTGAAAAAGGGCTGAAACAGAGGGGTTTATGGGATGCTACAATGCATGATCTGTTTGTTATTTCGAGCAAAACACTTCAGAGACATGTTTTGTATATATCTGAGACCTATAATATATTGATGAAAAACAGTATAATAGGGGACCTTTAATACCTAAAAGGCCTCAAGATGAGATCATGACTAGTGCAAAGTCCTATATTATTTTTTTTAGATACCATTATTCAAATTACAAAGCACACACTTCATAGTGACCCGAGGTGTTTGCTGACCCCTCGGAATATGGGGCCCATTTAGTCTGAATAGTAATCCAGTGATGGTTAAATATACTGGTATTCTTTAGGATTTCAAATGTTGTCATGTATTTCATTGCCTTATGTAAATCAAAATCTTGGATTTCTATGTAACAATAAATAAATGATGAACCGAAATAGACTACACTCTCTGCAATTTCTCCCAACTTTAATCAATATAACATTTTCCTACGGTGAAGTAATGATGAATTATAATAATACCCTTTACAAATATCTTGATTAAAAAGCCAATCCATACAATTCCGAAGAGTAAATAAAAAAACGTAGTCTGGAATATAAATCTTACTTTCCCAAAACATATGGCTATTCAAATCCAGGTTGTGTCTATTTGACACAAGTGGCTTGCATCTGTCTATGTTCCTTATCATATTATTACACACCACTGCAATGCACATCAGGGGGGGAAGCCTATAATCAAAGGAAAACCTCTTGCCCTGACTATTTCTCCTAGTTGAGCTAAAATCGCTGTAAAGCATATGCCTCTCGTGGCACAACTGCTTAATTAACAATTTCCCCAGCTGGAGACCTCTTCGATGTGCCACAGGCAAATCCATTATTGTCAGTATAGGGGAGGATAATAGGTATTTTGCTCGCTTTGCATTTGCTGTATGTCCTGTCTTGCATGGTAGGCCTAGTAATATTAAACGAATATGGGGTGCTAAATATATCTAAAAATACGGTTTTAAAAGATCAATCTGGTAACAAACAACTCTAATCCCCCACCTCATCCTACAGCAGTGAAGGTCTACTCTACACATTGAGCAGGCAAAACATTATGTGGGAGTCTATTGCCCTGATGAAGGTCTCTCGGGTAGTCAATGTACTCAAGCGTTGAACAGATTCTGCTTCCTGACGATTTGATTAACACACAGTAGTCCATAAATAGCTAAAACCAGAAAAAAACATGTTGTGGAGCTTTTGGGGGGCGATAAACAGTCTGGGGTCAAGAGCTACCTGGAAGTCTAAACAAAGGGCAGTTAAGCCCTTTAACGCCACTGCCTGTAGAACATTAGTGACTGGCGACATCTAGCGGTTAAAAGTAAGTCATGCGGGCAGCTTAAGTTTACACTGTACATTCAGGAGTTCACAGTGTGTCTTATTTAACTAACTGAAAGGCTATCCATTAATACAAATAAGTTAACATTATGATGCTGCTTCCTTGCTGTTTTGCTGCCTATCGATATTGAGGCATTTTATAAATAGGTTCGGTTCAGCTGTGTCCAGATCCTCCTCTTTCAGTTAGTTCAACGAGAGAACAAATCACAATAGGTGTGTGTAATAATACAACGTAAAGCGAATGAGTGTGTATGTGTGTGTCAGCAAGGACCCTAAAACAAAACTAACAATTTAATATGACACTGGACCATTTAGCTAACGTGCGTAAGGCAGCGCACATTTGCATTGGGCGCACGAAGGGTGGAAGTGGAGTGGACGGGGTCTTCAGGCAAATCAGACAGGCAGTTAGTGGGATACATGCTTCTCATAAAGCCAACAGGGTTTAGAATATTTCTAACACATGATGCATATGTGTCTCTAAAGTAAAACCAGATGTTCTTACTTGTCATAAAGTGACTGTTAACTTACAAACCTAGCTTGTTAGCTGGACAGCTAGTGATAATGAAGAGTCGGACAATCAGCTAGTGTTACACCGGCTAATGCTGCTTTAGCCATCTTCCTGTCACTGACATCACTCCTTACGCTGACGATATGAGATGTGTGCATAACTTTTTATCTGATGGACATGCTATTGCTACCCGTTTTTCATTATGGACAGCGATCTCAGCAATTGCAGGCCCCAGATTGGAGACAATGGCAAGCTAACCTGGCTAGCAAGTTGCCTTTGCTGCTAAGCTTGCTAAAAGCTGGTGCGTGTCTGCAGCCGCACTAGAAACGTCGAGGTATGTTATTTAACCAGCCAAGCTCTGCCTGTGGTCTGTTTGTTTTGGTCATTATCTACACGTGACAGCACATGCTAAGGGAGTTCGCTGTATATTTTCCTATGAGCAAGCAGGACAAAGTTTGTTTACTTATTGTTGTGTTAACTATCGTTAGCTAGCTCGCTAATAGCTAACTCCAAGCTAGCTAGCAAATGATCCGGGGTAAATAAAAAGTTTGAAAACATCAGGCAGATGGATAAAGTGAGTATAACTGCTAGATATGTTAAACTATCCAATTGTAAAAACATTTCAGTGTTCAGGGCATCAAGTCTTTAATAGTGTCAGGATAAAATGACAGGATATGTAATGTCAGCAAACTTAGCCTAGCAATTTGTTATTTTAGGTAGGAACGCCTCATCTTGCTCTCATTTCTTCTTGATCTCTCAAAAATAAATGCTAAGTAAGCACCGTTTTTTTGTTTTGATTTATTTTGCCCTCGGGTCAAAACTGTGTTTGTGTGTTATTTGCATCCATGTTCACCATATGTGACACCTGTTACCCACTGCAGGTGTCTTCACCATGAATCAGGTGGATATGACAGACCAAATCACAGCAGCTTGTAGTCAACCGTTGTTTCCCAACCAAGACCAGGCTATGGCCGGCCAAGAATCATTCCTCCAGCAGCCCTACTCCAACATAATGTCTTCACAATCCAAATGGGTGAGCAGCAGCAGAACTGAAGACACTGACCTGATCATAACTGAGGATCTGCTCAGTAATGGCACCTGTGAGATTGAGACAATGGTAGCATTACACTGTCCTGGCGAGAGTGAAGATGTCATTGTTGAGGGTGACCACCTTGCACTGAGCAATGATGGCATTACAGAGATTTCTAACAGTGACCTCTCTCTGCCTGAGGTCTGCATTTCTACCAACAGCAATAGCTTTGAGGAGGATATGAACTATGAGGTGCAGCAAGCATATCGGATATTTAATGGCTTTCTCTTGGACAAGCACAAAGGGATCACCAGCCCGTTCCTCCAGCCAATAGGCCAGCAGGAAGCCCAGCATGGTATTGGAGGCGTCCGGGGCTGGAGTCAGGCACAGCTCAGGCAGTTGATGTGCTTGCGAAGGATGGAGGAGAAGTTTATCAACCAAGAGTACGAGACCATTACAGAGTTTGTTGCAGACTTTAGGCTGATGTTGGAGAACTGTTACCGTTACCATGGGGTGGACCACTGGATATCCAAACAGGCTCAAAAGCTGGAAATCATGCTGGAGCAGAAGCTTACATTGCTATCTAGGTAAACATAATTTAAATACACTGCCAATTTATTAGTTGGCAAATGTTTAAACCCACTATACTGCTATCGTGTATGTTATATGTCACATGCATGATAAGTTAGTGTTGCAAGGCAATACATGTTTCTCTGTCAAGGATAGCCCTCAAACATTTTCTAAATAGTGTATTTAAAAAATACCATCTATTGTGTTCTAAATATAACAGTATAATTACATTTTTTCCGTCCTGTATTTCATCATGGCATAACATTGTATATTGTTTATTGATAACATATGAGCCTGTTTAGCAGCATACTATGATCTTACAATAATGGTTCTCAAAAACATGTTTTAAAAAGGTAAACAAATGTATGCATTTTGAACAACTCTTGTTAAATTACATGGCTGCTAGGTTACAGTGGTGTAGATATACTGTCTTTTTATTTCAAACAATACTGACGGCTATACAACTGATTTTTTTTCTCTCTTTCTGTCATTCCAG